AGAGGAGAACTCTCCGCCTCTGTCAGAGTGCAGACGCAGAACAGGAAAGTCTGAGCCAAAACTCTTCCTGAGCTGGAGACGAGTTGCGCGGATCCAGTCATTCTACACCTCAGTGACATCACCCTTGCTGCGCAAGGGGAAGACTGTGGTGTAACTCGAGTAGTCGTCAACCACCAGCAGGAAGTAGCGCTCGTGACCCTGTCCACGGACGCGGGCTGGGCCCCACACGTCCATGTGAAGCGTCTGCAGCGGGGCCTCTGTCGGAGGAAACTGGGAGGAGTGAGGGGCAGCACGCTGCCGCCCCTCGACACAGGGGACGCACGTAGGGGCAGGCCCCTGGGGAAGGGGAGGGAGGGACCGGGGAAGACCAGAGACAAGGACACGGGAGGCCATGCCTCGGAGACGAGGCAGGGAGGGGTGACCAAGGCGGTGGTGCCAGAGGAGAGTCTCGTGAGACAGGAGGCGATACGAGCAGGGGGCAGACTCTGGACGCTGGACGCTGCAGCAAACACCTGACCCGACGCAGCTGCCTGACCAGACGCAGTGACTGGAGGAGACTCAGTAGTCAGTGTGTACAGGCTCGTCCCCGGCCGACGTGTAAACGTGGCCAAGTGTCGGCCCGTCCGAGCGTCCGTGCAGTGGGTCACTCGCTGGCTCGCAGGAGTGAACTGGTGAACCCCCGCATCCTGTAGGTCAGCACAACTCACCAAGTTCGTAGAGAACGAGGGGAGGTAAAGACCCGACAGGGTGCAAGAGGGAGTCGCCGGACACGGAAGGACAGTGGAGAAGTGAGCAAGGACAGGACCCACAGAGGGGTCTGCCAGAGAGACTGCAACTGGCCGACCAAGCGGCGTGAGTGTGGTGCGGTCTCAAAAGAAGGAGCGAGAAGCCCCCGGGTCAAGAGTGAAGGTGTGGGAGGCCGGAGCCGACGCAGTACCTGAGAGAGCGGACTCACCAGCACCTGAGGAAGCAGACGCAGTGGCACCTAGAGCAGCAGCCTCGCTAGCACCTAGAGCAGCAGTCCCAATGCCCGGGTCGGGAGGAAAACACCGGTAACAGTCACCCTCATCACTAATAGTCACAGCATACATGGCCTCGAGAATAGCATCAAAGTCAAGGTCAAAGATAGCTACCCCTGCCCTAGACAGCTCGCCCCAGCGAGGGATCTCAGTGGCCTCAGGGAACTGGTGACGCCAGGCGTCCGTCAGGCGGCCAAAGCAGCGCTGGGTGGAGTGCGCACCCCCGCACTGCTCACCCGCGCGGTCGCCGGTGCGCAGGACGTAGCTGCACGGACCAGTACCGACACCCCGCTGGCGTGCAGCGTACCACTCACGAAGCTGCTGAGAGGGGGGGATCTCACGAGTGCGGTGCTGCTGCTGCTGCTGCTGGCTGCTGCTGCCGCTGACCAACACCGGAGCCGACTCTCTGCGCAGCGCCACCCCGACCAGCTCCACCTCCGCCGCCGCCTCCTCCACCGCCGCCACCTCCGCCACCTCCGCTCCCACCGCCACGGCCGCCGCCGCCTCCGCCTCCACTGCCGCCACCGACGCCCCCACCCCCGCCACCACCCCCACCGCCACCCCCACCCCCTCCGCTGCCTCCACCAGCCTCCACCGCCCCCGCTAGCTCCTCCAGCGCCCCTGCCCCCCTTGCCCTTGCCAGTGCGGCGTCTCCCGCTAGGGGCAGACGCCGCACCGTCCGACTCAAGACCAACGAGGTCGGCCGCAGCAGCAGAGGCAACAGAGGGCAAGAGAGGAGAGGGGGGAGCACCCCTCAAAGACAGGGGCACGAGGGTCACCACGAGAGGCTCCTACAGCGACTATGCTCTTCTCTGCTGCTAGGAGGCGCTCCTCGAGGAGTTCAACGGTGAGGGTTGTAGGGCAAACAGAGAGAAAGTGGTCCCTGACCGGGCGAAGGGTGTCAGGGAGCCGGGTGACTATGTAGTAGAGGGTGATGTACATAGGGGGGGGGGTCTTGGCGCAGAACTTAGCGGGAAGGGCAGCGCGATAGCGAATGTCACTAGTGCGAAGGTGCGTAATGAGGTCAGCGACTGTGGGAAAAGCTGCGAGGTCAGGGAAGAGGTACGGCAGGATGAGGCGGCTAAGTGCAGCAGTGGCAGGTGAAGAGTAGCATGCAACTACAGCGTCGTACAAGGTCCTAACACTCTTGTACTGGCTAAAGTGTGCACGCTCAGAGGTACGCAAGTGGCGACGCACAGCAAGACGTGCAGCAGCATCGCGTGTGGCCCACTGTGAGCGAACAGTGTCGTCAGCATCAGCAGCAGGGGCAGGAGAGGCACCAGAGGTGAGGTAAAAGAGGGAGAGACCGTATGGCCTATCGCACTGTTGGAAAAGCTGCAGGTCATCTACCCAGACGTCAAAGTCAATGGCCCGACCCTCAGCGTCAAAAGCGAGGACACTGGGGGTAGCCATGACAGCAGTAGACTAGCAGCGCGAGCAGTAGGCTAAGGGCAGCGCGGTAGTAGAGGTGCCGCTCTTACCGGACAGGGCGGCTCGGGCGGCTCGGCGGCTCGGCAGCAACTGCAGCTCGGCGGCTCGGGCGGCTCGGGTGGCTCGGCAGCAGCGGCGGCTCGGCGGCTCGGGCGGCTCGGGTGGCTCGGCAGCAGCGGCGGCTCGCGCGGCTCGGCAGCAGCGGCGGCTCGGCAGCAGCGGCGGCTCGGCAGCACAGCGGCAACGGCGGCTCAGCGGCGCCGGCGGCTCGGTGGTGACGGCGGGGCCGCGTAGGGTGGCAGGGCCGCTGAAGGGACGGCGGCGGGGCCGGGTGGGGCGGTGACGAGGCCACTGAGGGCGGCGGCGGGGCCACGAAGGGTGGCGACCGGCGCCTTAAGGGTGGGGCCGCGGGGTCGCAAGGGTGGGGCGACGGGGCCAGCAGAGGCGGCGCCGGGGCCTGAAGAGCGGTGCCAGGGCTGCAAGGGTGGGCGACGGGGCCGCGATGGCGGCGTGGAGCGGTCACTACGGCGGCTCGAAGAGGCCGCGAGGGCGGCGCGAAAGTGCCGCAAGGGCGGCACGACACGACGGGGCCGCAAGGGCGGCGGAACGGGGCCGCGTGGGCGGCGCGACGAGGCCGCGAGGGCGGCGCGACGTGATGGGGCCGCGGGGGCGGCGTGACGGGGTCGCAAGGGCGACTCGACGGGGCCGCTAGGGAGGCGCGACACGATGGGGCCGGTAAGGCGGCGCGACGGGATCGTAAGGGCGGCGCGACGGGGTCGTGAGAGGGGAGCGCGACTCGGGCAGAGGCTGAGCGCTCTCCGGGCAGGAAAACAATATCGGTGGGCCCTAGGAACAGTTCCCACTGGGGAACCTGCTCTATACCATGAGAAATTGAACGAGAATGGAATGATTAAGGGAAAGTTGGGTACAAGTACAAACCCTAGAAAGCTGTACCCCATATGTGCTACCCCACTATAGCCTACAGCAGCTAAGTTATATAAATCTGACATTCGCAGCCTGCAAAAAATCAATCACAGCCGAAGAAACAGCACGCCTCTTCATCGCCACCGTCGTACGCCTGCACGGGATACCAGCAGCGACCGAGACACGAAATTCACCAGCAAGTTCTGGCGGAACATGTGGCAGCAGTTTGGCACGCGACTACAGTTCAGCTCTTCGTACCACCCCGAAACCGACGGACAGACAGAACGGATAAATCATACCATGGAACAGCTTATCCGAGCCACATGCGACGACACGACCACCTGGGAACAGCAACTGCCACTCATCGAATTCGCATACAACAAGTCACCATCCGCCACGACCCAACAGTCACCATTTTACCTAAACGGCGGACAAGACCCAACAGTACCCATGACCCCGAACCCCGACAACCCGGTGCCACGAGCACAACAGTTCGCTCAAATATTACAAGCAGCACGGACCCGGGCAGCAGACGCAATAAAAAAATCGAACATCGTCGCTAAACGCAACGCCGACTGCCACCGCAGACCTGTCACTTACCAGCCCGACGACCTAGTTTTACTTGACACCCAGAACCTCCGCCTTCCCATCACCCCGAAACTCCGCCCCCAATACTGTGGACCATTTCGCATCAGCCACATGATAACACCCGTCACCGCCCACCTCCTCCTCCCTGCTGATTGGTACGTCAGCCCCTCGTTCCACGTCAACCTGCTTCGCCCCTACGTCCCGTCCACAAGCCAGCTCCCACGCAATCGCCCAGCCAGCATGACACGACCGCCAACTGAACCAATCATCACCCCCGAGAAGATTCTGAGTCACAGAGTTCGCGACCCTCGAGGAGCCCGAAGGATCGAGTTCCTGATCCGCTGGAAAGACCGTACACCCACCGAAGACAACTGGGTTCCCCTGGACAGAATCGAAAACCACCCCGTCCTCACCGAGTATCTGCGCAGCCGAAACTTCAAGAATGTACACGCACAATCGTAAGGAGGACCTCCTTACTTCAGGGGGAAGGGGGGGTAGTGTAAGGAAATGTCATTTTCCTTACTTCGCGTCCCCGCTCAGCGCGTACACCACTGTAGCACCACAGTCAGCACCGTTACCACTCGCAACTCTCGCATCGACAATCCTCCCACCACCTTCGCACGTCGCACCCCGACCTCATGGCTCGACGGGTAACCCGCGCTCCGGGCCTCCGCTTCGACACTTTTCCCAACCTCAGTTCTAGGCCCGTCACGCGACAACCACAGTCCATTACCGTTACCACTGTAGTTTCGATATATAATTTTCGCTCATGCCTTCGCTCATTGTACTCTTGCTTCGATAGTGCAATTCCTGCTCGCTCACTCAATTGCACTCGTAACACCATATCACATTACACTGTTTAAGTCAATGTGAGAAATATTAGCCTACTTTGTGCCACCCAATATCAGGGATTTGAACAAACCATACGACCAGTAATCCAACATTTGTTTTTTTAATGGAAATATCCAGAAGCATACGAAAATCCGATTCCCTGATTCTTATGATTCATGTGTAAAAAAGAAAGTAATTGGAATTCACATGTACCGTCCTAGCAGTAATATTAGGTGAGTGCAACCTTTTGTGAAGCACACGCTGGTGCTTGGAGGCCTCAAGCTTCCCTTCCCCCACTATCATCAACCCAGTTCACTGCTCCTGTTTCCCGCTTTCCTTCCTGTCAGCTCTGCGTCTTCAATTTATTACTCTTTCCTTGACTATCCGCTACCTTCGTCTTGGTCAGTCTAGTAGATTCTCGGCCCGTTACAATGGGGCGCACGCTCGATGACGATGACGAGTGCTTTCCCAGAGGTCCGTGTCTCGATTCCCTGCAGCCATGCTTTCACAGACGTCCGTCTATCAACTCCCTGCATCAAAATGGCTTGCTCTTCAAATAGGCGATTCAAATTCCATGTTTTCTTTAACTGCAAACTCGATCGGCATTAGCTACTAGTGAACGCCAGTGGTTTAGAACCTGTTTCTCCACTTCCCCCCACTTCTTCCACGCATCCCCTCAATGAACACTCGCAGGAAAAGCACCTCTTGCAAAACCTCTCGCAAAGTCTCCCGCGAAGGTTCCCACACCCCGGCCTGCAAAACCCCGCAAGGCCGCAGAAGCTAGCCGTGCCGTGACGGACGGGGACAGGGTTTTAGGCGGCGAGGGTTTTGTGGGTGATGAAGGAAAGAAAAAGGAAACCCCGGATAAGAAGGGGAAAGCTAGGATTGAGCGTGGAGAGGGAGTAGCGAAGGATCGAAAGCGGGCTCGTGAGGAGATCGCAGCAGGAGAGACGGAAGTATCTAGAGAAAAGCCAGGGAGATATGGAGAGCCGGGGAAAAAATCCGACGAGGCGAAAAAAGCCCACGCGCGGGGTGAGGGGAAAGCGGCGGCGGAGGGGAAGAAGAATAAGCGGAAGAAGGGAGCGGGTGGGGCGGTGAAGCAGGGGGTGAGCGTGCTAGAGGAATGGGTGGAAGAAGAGGAGGACATCGGCGCGCAGATTGCCCTTGCGAGAGCCGAGGAAGCTGCGAAGAAGGAGGCGGAGGAGGTTAAGAGGCGTTTGGGAGATAAGGAGAGCATGGCGACGAGTGTGAAGGGTTTCACTGCTCAGGTGTGGCTTTATTAGTAGTAGCTTGATTCTTTACTCTAACCCCATGATACGGACGGTCTACAAAAAAACCCTCCAGGAACCAACACACCCTGCAACACTTGTGTCTCGGCGCGTTCCCCCACGTGGCGCTTTATCGTTTGATCCGCCTTCCTTGAACTCCTGGCTAAACCCTGCATAAGCTATGTTTTCTCTCCTGATTTTGTGATCCAACGGCTCTCAGGACGCCACGCCAGGGATGCAGCTGTGGGGCTGTGTTGCAGAGGTCACTCCGTCCGGCCTTCTTATCAGCCTGCCACATGGCGTGTTCGGATTCGCTGACGTGGCAGAAGTATCTGACCAGATATCGGGTTGTTTAGGGAAGGCGGAGAGGGGAGAAGCAGTGGATTGGGGGCAGGAGGATGAGGAGATGAAGGAGGAAGGGGAGGAGGAGCAGGAGGAGGGGGAGGAGGGGGAGGAGGGGGAGGAGGGGGAGGAAGAAGGAGCAGGGGGCGAGAGCATCAAGCAGAAGGTATGCAGTTTTCCTTGTGGAACTGTCTTTCTTTCCTCCCTCCTCCTCTCCCACACCCTCCAACCCTCCCCCCCCTCCCCCCCCTCCCCTCCCCCTTCTTCCACCGCTTTCCATTCTTCACTCTCTCCTGTTTCCTCCCATATCCTGCCAAAACCCTCTCTGAACCCTGCGCGTTCTCCTCTGCTTCGCCCCCCGCCGCTAGACTCCCCGCATGCGAGCAGCAGAGTGGATGGCGCGCATCTTCTCGCAGGGCCAGCTCGTACCCTGCACTGTACTCCCCGCCCCTGCTGCTGCTGCTTCCGCCGCTGCTGGTGCTGGTGGTGGTAGAGGTGGCGGTGCTGCTGCGGCGGGGGCGGGAGTGGCAGCAGCGCTGGCAGAAGTGGCGGTGTCGGTGCGTCTGTCTCGCGTGCAGGGCCCTGTCGTGCGCTTCAAGAGCGTGCCTGTGCACACGGTGAGCAGTAGGGGAGGGCCGGCGTTTGGGGGGAGGGGAGCGGCGGGATGAGGAGGGCGGAAAAGGAAGCGGGGTATGCGAGGGAGGGAGGTTGTTGTGGCATAGAGCTTGTGGAGTAAGTAGGAGGAAGCTGAGATTTGAAGCCCTGGGTGAAGCTGTTAGCAGCATGCAGGTTGTTCTCATGCTGTCAGCATGCAGATTTGTACAGCAGGGCTAATCACACCCTGTCATGCGCGTGTGTGGATGCATGTGTGTGTGTGTGTGTGCGTGTGCGTGTGTGTGTGTGTGTGTGTGTGTGTGTGCGTGCGTGCGTGTGTGCGAATGTCATCCTGGGGGCATTCATGCATGCGTGCATCAGGAGCTATGGGCGGCAGTGGAGAGTGTGGAGGAGCATGGGCTCATCCTGTCCTTCGGCCTTCGCACCATCACTGCCTTCCTGCCCTTCGCCCAACTCACTCAGCGATGTATGCTTTCCTTATCCTGCTCCTCCCACCTCGCTCCCACCTTATCCATCTTGCCGCACTCCGTTTCTCACCCTTTTTCATTTGAATCCTTCCTGTGCATCTCTTCCTCCTCCTCCATCCTGTCTCTCGTCCTTCTTTTGCCCCTAACATCACACCTTAAACCCGAAACCCTGGCTGTCCTGGTCCCCTTCTGTGCCCTCTTCGCCTTGCTTACTCGGTTCCCTCCTTACAACCCCATCAGTCCCTACCAGCTGCAGCAGGAGCAGCAGCGCCAGCAGCGGTGCTGATAAACACCCCCTGTGCCTCATCCATTTCTTCTTAACCCTCCACCCCCCCCCCCGTCTCCTCCTTGGGTCTCTTGTTTCGCGATCCTTTGTTTTTTCTCTCTCTCGCTGCTTGCCCTTCAGTCCCTGGAGTGACGTTCCGCAAGGGGCAGCTGCTGCCAGTGCCAGTGGTGGTGGAGGGGCGGGACAAGGCACACAAGACACTCACAGTCTCGCTCGAACCCACCCCTGCCACTGTCAGTGCCCATCGCTTCCTACCTTCCTTCTGTCGTGCCTCTCATGTATTGTTTTGTAATGTGCGTGGACGCATGTGTGTGTGGGCGTGCGTGCATGTGTGAACATGTGCAGAAAGGGAAGTGCTTGCCAATGCCTGCCCATTCCCCACCCTCTCCATCCTCATTTCAGGGCAAGGCTGCACAAGCACAAACACCATCACCAGCAGCAGCAGCAGCAGCAGCAGCAGCAGCAGGAAAAGGGGAGGGCGGGGAGGCCGAGGAGGAAGGGGGTGCAGCGGTGCTACCGGGGCAGCTGGTGCAGGGCAAGGTGCTGCACGTGCTGCAGGATGGATCCATGGCTGTGGGACTGCCCACTGCCACCGCGTGGGTGAGTGCATGGGTGAGTGAGAGTGAGTGAGTGATGTGTGCATGCGTGCATGCATCAGTGCATGCTACTGGTGCCTGCTTCCTCACGGCCTGTGTCGTCGTCTTACTTACCTTCAATCAACTTCACCTCTCACTCCGGCCTCCTCCCTCCCCTCTCACCCCATCACCGCCCACCAGGTGCATCCATTGAATCTACCCCGTCCGCTGCTCTCCCGTGACCAGTGCCTGGCCATCTTCCCCTCCCCATGGGCGCCACGGTGCGTCCGCTCCCTGTTCCATGACTTCACTTCTCTCTCCACCCCCCTCTGACCTCCCTCCAGGTGCATCCCTTGAACCTACCCCGCCCGCTTCTCTCTCGGGACCAGTGCCTGGCCATCTTCCCCGTCGGTGCCACGGTGCGTCTCCTCCATTCCCATGCCTTTCACTTCCTCCCTCTTCAATCGTGCTGCTGTTGCCATAACACACCCCTTCTTAAGCCTCCACGTTTCCACCCCCGTCCTTCACTGAATTCTCGTTCGCACCCGCACTGCATTTATGCTCCTTGCCTGGCTGATGTTCTTTGCCCTTTGCCCTTTGCCCTTTGCCTGCACACACACACATCACATCTCCTCCTCTTCATCCTGCACATCCCATGCCGTTTGCCCATCACACCAGGTCAAAGCGCGTGTGCTCTTCTGCACACATGCCGCATCAGGGGCAGCAGCCGCAGCAGCAGCAGCAGCAGCAGCAGCAGGCAGCAGCAGCAGCACACAGGGTGCTGATCCCAGTGTGGTGGTGCCGACCATAGCACTCTCCCTCAGCTCAGCTCTCCTCCGCGCCACCCCTCCCTCCATTGAGGTGCGCTGTGCCCTTCCGCACGCACCACACGCACTCCCCTCCCTCCACTATCGAGGTGTTGTTGTAACTTGTGACCGTGTTTTGGGAGTTCCAAGTGAGGACCCACCCCCCAAAGTCTTTGAGAGTTCTCCCCTGTCCTCGCAACCTTCAAACCACAGAGTCTTTCAGGATTTTCAAAACCACCCTGTCGAGGGCTATGTTGGAAAAGTCGCGCCCAGCGCATTATACGCAAGCGTATATACGCTTGCGTATAGTGCGTTATGCGCTTCGTGAGTGACTTCGAAAGTCGCAGAAAGTACGCTGCCCGGGCAGCAAAAGGTTTTTACCGGGCAGACGAAAAAAACCGCCGAAGGAGGGGGGGGGGAGTGGTGGTTTTACCGAATTTCATATATGCCAAAAACCTTACATTCTCAACTACTCTAAGCAAGCAACATGCATCTCTCCTACCCCACCCCCTACTCCCACCCTCTACTCCCCCCGTCCCTTCCTTCCTCCTCTACTTGTACTCATCCTCCAGCTCATCCTCCTCCCCCTCCTCCTCATCCTCCTCCAGAACCTCGTTGTACCCTTCCGGCAGGGAGGCCTCAGGGATGTTCCCCGGGAGAACCGTCACCCCCTCAGCCCCCTTGTGCCAGTTGCGCACAATGTTCCAATTGTGCGCAACATACACGAGGTCCCGACACTTCTCGGACCCCAACCTGTTGCGCTTGGCAGTGTGGATCGATTCCCACACTGCCCAGTTCCTCTCACACGCCGATGCGGACACTGGCTGAGAGAGAACGCGGCAAGCGAGCGTTGTTAGCTCGGGGTGCTCCGTCCCGTGCCACGTCCACCACTGGACGGCCGTCTTCTTACTGGCCTTCACGAGCTCACGGTCAGAGATGGCGTCGGGTAGGCCGAAGCTCCCCTGAAGGGTGTTGAATGCCGTCAGGCCGTCCTGGATGACGTGGGATGCGCGCAGCTCCTCGCCCTCCTTGCGCGTGACGGTCCGCCCTACGTAGTGACGAGCGACAAACACTTTGAAGACGCGAGTACACTCCAGGTCGGTGCGGAAGATGCCTTCCTCTTGGTTGACCGGGTTGAGGATCCGGCCAACCACGTGCATGGCACACGCCATGCTATGGTCCCAACGCTTTTGGACGATGTTGGTCACCTCCGTGCGTTCGCTGCTGGACAGCACCAATCCCACCTCCTCCTCCTCCAGCTTCGCATTGATGTCTTCCGTGAGCTGCAGCATCAGATCGTACATCCTGCCCATCATGCCCTTGGCCGTCGAGTCAGTCTTGCGCATGACGGCAAAGGGGATCTTCAGGAGGGCGACGAAGAACTCCGCACCTTTCCACCACACGGCATCCATGATCATGGTTGCGAAGGGCTCGACCGGCGGCTTCCTCCCCTTCGCCCAAGCCTGCCACTCCGGGCTGAGCACCATCTGCGTCAATGCACTCCGCACCTCGCAAAGCCGCTGCACCGCGATGAATTGCGTGCCAAATCTGGTGCCCGTCGGCTTCAGCACCTGCTTCCCCTTCCCTCCCTTCACCTGCGGGCTTCGCATGTAACCTTTGGTGAAATGGTGGGCACGCACAAAGGTAATAATCACCCCCGCCTTAGCCACAATGTCCTTCGCCCAATCCATTTTCCCAATGTCCTCCATGAGCAGATCCATGACGTGAGTAGCGCACGGCACATGCTCAATGTGAGGATACTCAAGCATGAGTTCCCTACATGCAGCCGCATAATTGCTGCCCCCATCCATGCATAACGCAACTATGTTGGCGGGCCCCACCTTCTCAATGATCGGGCGCAAAACGGATGCAATGTAACCTCCCGTCTTCATCTCCAACTTACAGTCGATGCTTTCGGTGAACACTGCACCGGAATCGTTGATGAGCAGGATGTTGGCTTGGGGACGGCCACTTTTGTCCGTCATCATGTCCGAGCCTATCGTCACGCCATCCCGCTTCCAGCTCGCAGTGATGGGAGCGAGCCCCCTCTCGATCTTTTCGCGGCAGCGCGCAAGGCCGGCGCCACCAACATACCGCCGCTTCGGGGGAACGTAGCCATGGCCCGCGTCCGTGATGCAGCGCACAGCGTTGCGCCAGAGAGGGTGATCGGCGAGATGCTCCGGGAGGTGAAGTGCCGCCCACATGAGGCAGATGGCGTCGTCTGCCGATTCCTTCGCACACGACGCCCCTTTCCCGTAGAAGTCTTCGATGCACTGCTTCTTCGCTCCACCCGCACACGCCTCGATCGCCATCTCCTCCGCCTTCTTCTTCCCTTCCCTGCGGGCGTGTTTGCCTTCGTACAATTCGCGGACGGTGCCGCGGTCAGCAGAAGGGATAGGCGCCTTGCAAAGACGGACGTCATTCCGTTTCAGCCCTTTCCAGCGCGTGATGTGTTGCGCGCAACGGAAGGCGCCCCCTACGAACTTAAGCTTGCAGTGCCGGCATATGCGGAGAGTACGCTCAGGACCATTCGAGGTACCTTCGGTACAGGTAAGGAAATGCTTAAAAATAACATAGGTGTTCACAGGAACATCCTCGTCGTCCGCCATGGTCGCGTCATTCGAAACACTAGGAGCCTCACTAGTGGCACTTGCGGGAGTACCAGAAGGAGTTGACATCAAGTGCAGGTGAGCGGGAGTGTTGAGAGAATGAACGAGGAGAGAGATAATACAGATGACGGGACTGAGAGCTTACCTTATAGTCCAGGATGTGGTTGAGTTGAACCACCTACGCTGTTTGACGACATTCGTGTTTGTGTGTTGGAGTCGCGCGATAGCATAGGGTGCAGTGCGGTTCAAATTTTCCCACGTCCCCACATTTTGACAGGTGTGGGTGACAATGTGGCTGGATTGAGACGTGCGTACAAATTGGGGTGGGACGTGCGTACGTTTTGAGTCGCGTCGCACATTCGCAATTCGTGCGCGACTTTTGAAATCTGTTTTTTTTTCGGGTCAGCCCGAACTTTCGCCAACGAATATACGTACGACTTGCGTACACCGTATATTCGTAAACGACTATTCGGAGTGCGCTTATGGTTTCTGGCGACTTTTCCAACATAGGTCGAGGGTCCGCCTTTTTTTTTTTTTTCCTGTGTCGTCCTTCATTTCTGTGCATCTCCGTCCTTCCTCCTCCCTCCTTCCCGCTCCACCTCTTCCGCTGCTCCCCCACCAGTGGCAAGCGTCCCCATCTGCTACCCCTACCAAGGTGCTTCCAGGCTCTCTCTTCCCCGCTGCTGTTGTGGAGCACATTTACCCTGGGCTGGGCGTGCTGCTGCGACTGGCGGGAGGGGAGAAGGAGAAGGAGAAGGGGGACGAGCAGGGGAAGCAGGGGAAGAAGCAGGGGGGGGGGAAGGAGAGGAAGAAGCAGTTGGGCAAGGCCGCGTATGCCCTTGTTCCTGTGAGTGCTGCTGCTGGGTCGTGCGGTGCGGGCTTGGGCGCCGCCTGGGATGGGGGAAGCTGGTGCAGTGGAGAGTGCTTGTGATGTGTATTGCGCGTGTCGTCGTTGCTTGGTGGATCGCTTGCGTGCCTTAGCCTGGCTTGTCATGTAGTGCTGCGCTCATCATCCTGCTCCTCCCCCTGTCCCACTCACCCTGTCCCCCTCCCCCTGCCCTTCCCCCGCTCTCTCCTGCCCCCCATTCCCCGTGCAACAGCTGCGCCAGCTCTCTGCATCCGGTGCACCCGCCATCCCAGCGCATGTGGCGGAGGGCAAGCAAGTGTGTGCGCGCGTGCTGCACCTCTGCCCCTCTGACGGGCTCGCCATCGCGTCCCTCAAGGTGTGTGTGCGGGGCCCAAAGCCTGTGGGAACTCTTAGAGGCGACTCATATTCATGAGACAGCCCATAGGAGCTGAGCTGTTATAACGGGCCCTTAGGAGCTTCTTCAATCTCCAGAATCAGACAGTGCACTAGCCATCTCGTCCTGTCCCTCAAGTGTGTGCTGTGCTTGCTGGCGAGTCACGCTTCCCTTGCTCCTTCATCCATTCTTTCTGCTTTCCTTATCTCTTCTCTTTCTCTCCTCCTCCCCATCTTCCCCTCTCTCCTTGTCTCCCTCTCCCCCAACCCACACACCAACACCAGGGCATGGCCGTGAAAGCAACACTCTCCCCGGCAGGCGTGCAGGCGGGCAGGCTGGTAACAGGCACGGTGGTTGCGGTGGGGGAGGAGGGCGTGCGAGTGCAGCTGGCGTTTGAGCAGTGGGGGTGGTGCCCTCGCGCGCACATGAGCGAGGGCAGGGGCACGCACCGGGACGACGCCGGCTTTAAGGTGCGCTCCTTGTTCGGATATGTGCACGAGAAAGGCCTCAAGGCGTGTCTGTACGCACGCATGAGCGAGGGCAGGGGCACGCAACGGGATTGTGCGGCCTTTAAGGTGCGTCCTTGGTTCTGATATGTGCACGAGAAATGCTTTGAGTGTGTGTCTAGACGCACACAGGGACGCGCACATGAGCGAGGGCGGGCAGGGCCACGCACCGGGAGTATTCGGCCTTCCTGGTGCGTTCCTGTGCAAGGGGGGGTGACAAGGTGACGTGCGACCGACCGTTGTGGGGTTTCCTTAAAGCCCTCGTGCTCTTTGTGCTGCCACCCAGGGGTGCCATCCTCCATTCGTGAAGACGCAGAGCACTGCACTAAACTTATCCTCTCCGTGTTCCACCCACACTACCTATGCTGTGCTGTGTCTGTGCGTGTGCTCCTCTCCCCTAGCAGCCAGGGGCGTCGCTGCAGTTCCGAGTGCTGCGCCAGGGAGAGGGCCCCGAGGGACCCGTGCTGCTCACCCACAAGAAAACACTGGTGGGTTGAGAAGTTCAGAGGGGGGTGAGGGAGGAGGGAGGAGCGAGGACGAAATGAGGCAGCTGGGTGGTTGAGGGGGCATGAAGGGAGCGTGTAGAGGAAGGTGGGTTTAGGGGAAGAGTGGAGTTGAGCTGAGGTATCTATCTCCTACCACCTCGCTGCACTGTGCCAATATCCCTCCTACCCCTGCACTCATAGCCATTGCTTACATTTATCTGCAGCCTGCACTCATTCATTCACCATCCCCTCTCCCACCAACCCTCCTGCCCCACCCCTTACCCCGGAAGAACCCGAAATATGTATTCCTAAAATGGAAACCCCAATTTTGAAACTCTGCTTCCCCATACACACACCACAGCTGTCTTCCAAACTGCCTATTCTGACGAGCCCGTCGCAAGCGACGGCGGGCGTGTGCACGCATGGGTGGGTGGAGGCGGTAACAAAGGACACATGCACCGTGCACTTCTATGGGGACTTCTCTGTTGCCATCCACAGGTGCGTGCTGCGGGGGAAAAAGGGGGGAGAAGAGGGTTGGGAAAGAGGCGGGGAGGGTAGGGGATGACTGCGGGAAGGGAGTGGGGAGGGCACATGGCTTTGGACTGTCCATGCACGTTTTATCTCCATCCGTCCTCCTCGGTGCCACCACTATCCCTCACCCATGCCATCCCTTTCACGTGCTCCTTCTCCTCCATATCTCGCTCCCCCTGGGCGTCATTGCATGTGGGGCAGGTGCTGCGCTGCTTTGCCCTGCCCCCTTCCATCCCTTTCACACGTCCGATCTCTCCCATATCTCTCTCCCTCACACCAGGGAGAATGAGGAGCAGGGAGGGAGCAAGGTAACCCCCTGGGCATCGCTGCACGTGGGGCAGGTGCTGCGCTGCTACGCCCTGCCCTCTGCTGACGCTGCCCACCCGGCCTTCTCCCTGCACTCGACCTCAACGCCCTTCAGCAACCACGGGTAAGCCACGCACGCACGCACGCACAGAAGAGATCGGTTTTCTCCTTTTGAGTCGACTCAAAAGCAGACTCCTTGGAGGTGTCTTGCCATCCCTTGTCGTCCCTCGTCTCGCCCTCCCTCTCTCCCTCCCTCTCTCTCTCTCTCTCTTTCTCTCTCTCTCTCTCTCTCTCTCTCTCTCTCTCTCTCTCTCTCTCTCTCTCTCTCTCTCTCTCTCTCTCTCTCTCTTCATCTGTTCATCTGGTACTTAAACAAGCTAGCTCCTTCATCCATTGATTGACCATGGTCGGGCCGTCCTTGACCCTTTCTCGCCCGTCCATCTCCCTTTCTCCATGACTGGGTGGTACATACATACCTACCCCACTCTCCCCCTCCCCCCCGTCTTTCCTCGCTCGCAGGACACTGTTCCCGCCATCCTCTTCCCCCCACGCCACGCCTCCCCCCCGTGCACTCCCCAACGCGCTGCACGCGGTGGGGACGGTCATTTCGGAAGCTCCTGTGGTGCGCCGGGACGCGCACTCGCTCGTGCTCGCACTGCCTGCCGCCAACGGCGTGCAGGAGGCCATCATGGCTGTGGAACACCTGGCAGACCAACCAGGTAAGCTTGACTGGTGCGCGGTGCTGTGTGGTGCTGTGCGGTGTGATGTGTCACTGGGAATAATCATCGTCATGTGGGGAGCTCGCCTCCCTTGTTTGTGCCAACCATTGGTGGCAGGAGGCCGTCATGGCTGTGAGGCCCCCGTACTGCTTCCCATCCCATCCTTTGAGAATTCTCAAAAGTACCATTATGGTGCCAACGGCGTGCAGGAGGCCGTCATGGCTGTGAGGCCCCCATACTGCTTCCCATCCCATCCCATCCTTACTCCACCAATTCATGCCTCCCTCTCCCCCCCTCCGCCCCGCCTCCCCTCCCCCCATCCCCGTGCCCCTCCCCCTCACCAGCATGTGCAGTGGAGTTGCTAGCATCACTGCAGCCGGGTTCAAGGCTAGGGCCACTGCTCGTGCTTTCCCTGTGGCACGGCCGCACGCCTATCGTCACTGCCAAACCCGCGCTCCTGCAAGCCGCCGCTGCCACTGCTGCTGCTGGTGCTGGTGCTGGTGCTGCCGCTGGTGGTGGTGGTGGTGGTGAGGGCAAGGCGGCAAGGGGCAAAGCGAAGCGGCCGCAACAGGGCTCCTTCCACATGGTACTGTGAAGGAGGGAGGGAGAGGCAATTGGGTTGCTGGGAGGGGCAGGGAGCGGGAGGGAGAGGGGGGGAGAGGGAGGGAGCGGGAGGGAGAGGGAGGGAGAGGGAGGGAGGGGGAGCGCGTGGGAGGGAGAGAGGGAGGAGGGTCTCCTGGGGGCGCGAGGGCGGGGGAAAGCGAGGGAGTGGGCGGCATGTTTGTTCACCCCTCCCTTCCTCCCTCACAGTGGGTAGGTATGTGGCACACTGACAGTGAGACCGGGTCAGAATGTTTTGCACATCAAGACCTGTGAACTGCATCACATTCATCTTCCCTGCTCCTCACCATGATCCCCCCTTTGTCCGTTGCTCACTTTGCCCTCCCCTCCCTTCCCCTCCGCTCCCCTCCCCTGCGCTGCCTTCCCCCGGCTGTGGTGGCGAGCAGGCGTTTGTGACAGGAGTGAGGGCAGATGGGGCGTGCAGTGTGCAGCTGGCAGATGGCACCACGGCCGTCTCCCTGCCCTTCTCCCCCACCCCTGCCGCCCTCGCCACTCTGGTGCGCACCACACCCCACCGCACTCAACCCCTTTCCTGCTCAATCTGACACTTGCATGAGTGCTCCCTTTCCCCCCTTTCACCGTGGTTCTACAAGCTGTGCCGTAGCGCCCTGCCCTCTCTCGTCCCTCCCGATCCCTTCCCATTCTTTCATCATCTCTCTTTTTTACCTCACCTTCTCAACCGTCATCTGGCTCACCCATCCTCCCCTCCTCCCTTCCCCTTGTGCTCCTGTCTCGCCCCGGCTCTCTCTCTCTCTCTCTCTCTCTCTCTCTCTCTCTCTCTCTCTCTCTCTCTCTCTCTCTCTCTCTCTCTCTCTCTCTCTCTCTCTCTCGTCCTCCCGTCTACCTGCAGGTGCCAGGCCTCCCTGCGGCACCATTGCCTGCAGTCTTCTTCTCCCTGGGCCAGACTGTCCGGGTCAAGATACTCAAGGTGGGCTGCTCGGTGCTCGTTCGTGAGTATCTTGGCCAACACACTCACGGTGTGATCATCGGTTGCTTGTGGTGCGATCAAGTCAAGACAACCGGAACTTGTTTTGTAAAGCATATACGCGCTGCATTTTTTTTAGGAGAACACAGAGTGTCCTCGGGGGATGTGAAAGCGGGCATGCGCACCACTGCCCCACACACGCATGAATCTCCCCCCCAACAACTCCTAACCCCACCCACTCTCACCCCCACTTCCCCACGCCCTCCAGGCGTCACAGCCCCTGCAGGTGGCTCTGGACCCTTTCCTCTGCGTGCCCCATGATGCCTCGTTTTCATTGTCATTGCTGCAGCACGAGCGCACGGCAGCACGGCTGTTTCCTCACCCCACCTCACCTCACCCCCCCATGCCCTGCAGGCGTCACAGCCCCTGCAGGTGGCTCTCGACCCTTTCCTCTGCGCGTCACACGACGGCTCGTTTGCATCGTCACTGCTGCAGCAGGAGCGCACAGCAGCACGGCTGGCAGAGCAGCAGGAGCAGCCGTGGATGGGGGCGGTGGTTCCGGGCATGGCTGTAGAAGGCACTGTGCTGGTCAAACACGAGGGCGCCATGGGAGCGGGAGGAGGAGGAGGAGGGGGAGGGGAAAGAGGGGGAGGGAGGCATGGAGGGGACTCGTGGACTGTGTCTCTGGTCAGTCCCGATGTGCTCAACGGAGTGATGGCGGTTGTCCCTGCTAACCTTGGTGAGACCTTGGTTGCTCCCTGTGACAGCGTGCCGTGCAGCACACAAGAACATCTGCTCGCTCTTGCTCTCTTGTGTGCTGCACGGCATGCTCTGCGCTGCAAGCTGCTGCAACTGGCCCGTCGGTACTTGGCGCAACCTCATTAACCTGCGTGGGCGCCTGTGTCACGCTCACCCGCGTCTTTCATTATCCTGCACTGCACCATCAGAAGGTCTTGCTTTGTGCTGAGTGGCCAGAAGGCGGAGGTTAGGGGCGTTGAGGTGTGTTTTGAGGCGCCTCAAAACATTATCCTGCACTGCACCGTCGGAAGGTCTTGCTTTGTGCTGAGTGGCCATAAGGCAGAGGTTATGTGCGCTATGCAGCCTCCTAAACGCAGTACTGCAGATCGCGCTGAGAGACATGATGGGGAAACGGTGTCTCTTGCGAGTTGTGTCATGGGGTAAAAGGATTCACGGCCCATCTCCCTGTGTATGCTGTGTTGCCGTTCACTCACTTTTGAGGCGCCTCAAAACTCTTGCGAGTTGTGTCATGGAGTAAAAGGATTCACGGCCTATCTCCCTGCCTATGCTGTGTGTTGCTGTTCACTCACCTCACCCTACCTCTCTTGCCGTCTCTACCTCCCTCCATACCGCCCTCCCTGACTCCCTCCCTCCCACACCACATCACATATGCACGTGCGCTCCTCGTTCTCACAGCATCCAAACCGCTCACTCTAGGGGAGCGAGTCTCAGGGCGAGTGGTGGACGTGGGAGGAGCAGCAGGGCATGTGGTGCTAGCGGCGGGGGACATTGCTGCCCCGCAGGCCAAGAGTGAGAGTGCGGGCCAAGTGGTGCTGGCGAAGGGGACGAGGCTGCTGGTGCGAGTGCTGCTCAGCACTCCACACTATGCGGTACGACTCTGACACTTGCCTCTTGCTCACTCTCCTTTCGCTCGCCACACTATGCAGTGCGACACTATGTTGTTCGCTCCATCCTTTGAGGCGCCTCAAAATATGTCTGGTGCTGTCTGTTCTGCACCATCACTCAAGCCTCCTTTCTTCTGTTCCACCAGGTGAGGTGAGTTAGGTGCATGCCTATCTGTATTATGTGCATGTTACACGGATCATCTTCATCCCCCTCCCCTCTCGTCCGCTCCCCTCCCCTCCTATCCGTCGCCTCCCACAGGTCGTTTCACTGCCCGCCTGCTACACTGTGCCGGCAACCACGGGCCAATTGCAAGCAGCCACGTCAGCGCCCCTGCTGGCGACTCTGGCAGGGGGCGACTTCAACCTGCCCCACGTGGACGTCCTTCGGTTGTACCGCCCTGGACAGATGTGCGTGCTGCTGCCATACCCATGCAATTGCACTTGCTCTTGCTCTTGCATTTGGTTTGCCATGTCATGTCATCATGTTTTTAGTCATGCTGCTCAGGAGTCAGAACCGAATGCATCGGTTTACATGGCTGCTGTGCTTTCACACCTTCACTGCCCCTATGCACATTCATTCGGCTGCCCTCCGCTTGTGAAATGATCCGTCCAAACACATAGACTCATGCCATTCATCCTTTCTACGCTGCTATCTCCTCGCCCATCTCCCTCCCCCTCTCCCTTCCCTCTCGTTCCCATCTCCCACCCCCTCTCCCTTCCCTCTCGTTCCCATCTCCCACCCCCTCTCCCTTCCCTCTCGTTCCCATCTCCCACCCCCTCTCCCTTCCCTCTCGTTCCCATCTCCCACCCCCTCTCCCTTCCCTCTCGTTCCCATCTCCCACCCCCTCTCCCTTCCCTCTCGTTCCCATCTCCCACCCCCTCTCCCTTCCCTCTCGTTCCCATCTCCCACCCCCTCTCCCTTCCCTCTCGTTCCCATCTCCCACCCCTCTCCCTTCCCTCTCGTTCCCATCTCCCACCCCCTCTCCTTCCCTCTCGTTCCCATCTCCCACCCCTCTCCCTTCCCTCTCGTTCCCATCTCCCACCCCTCTCCCTTCCCTCTCGTTCCCATCTCCCACCCCTCTCCCTTCCCTCTCGTTCCCATCTCCCACCCCTCTCCCTTCCCTCTCGTTCCCATCTCCCACCCCTCTCCCTTCCCTCTCGTTCCCATCTCCCACCCCTCTCCCTTCCCTCTCGTTCCCATCTCCCACCCCTCTCCCTTCCCTCTCGTTCCCATCTCCCACCCCTCTCCCTTCCCTCTCGTTCCCATCTCCACCCCTCTCCCTTCCCTCTCGTTCCCATCTCCCACCCCTCTCCCTTCCCTCTCGTTCCCATCTCCCACCCCTCTCCCTTCCCTCTCGTTCCCATCTCCCACCCCTCTCGCTTCCCTCTCGTTCCCATCTCCCACCCCTCTCCCGGCCGGCCTCATTCGTCTCGCGTCCACATCTCCAGGGCTGCAGCAGCTCTTGTGGCACTCCCTTCACCAGAGACAGGTGGTAGGATCGTACTGGCTCGGGATGAGCTGGTGTCTTTCACCCATCCTTCCTCAGGCCCCACCGCTGCTGCTGCTGCTGCCGCTCCTCCTGCTGCTGCTCCTGCAGCCTCTTCTACACCCACTGACCCTACAGCTGCTGCCACTGCCGCTGCCACTGCCACTGCCACAGCCACTGCTGCTGCCCCTACGGCGTGCACTGCCACTAGTGTGTGGCAGCGCCGCTACGCGCAGCTGCGCCTGCTGGTGGCGGCGGTGATACAGGGGGAGGTGCACCCTGCCACTGCCTCCTCTGCTGGGCTGGCTCTCGTGGATCTTGGCGGAGGGGTTTCCGCCATTCTGCGTGCCTCCCAGGTACCCTGCCGTTCTCTTCACCACCTGTGTTCTCTGCATCCTCTCTGCCCCCTCTTCCCCCCACCCTTCCCCTCCTCGTCTCCCCCTCGTCCCCCCACTTCCACCCCTCCCTTCCCCCCCCCCTTCCTCCCCCCTTTCCCCCCCCCCCCCCCCTCCCTTTCCCCCCTCCTTCCCCCCTTCTTCCCCCTCTTCCTCCCCTTCCCTCCTTTTTCCACCCTTTCCCCCCCTCTTCCCCCCTTCTCCCTTGTGTGTGGGCACCAACATTCTGATCCCGTGCAACCATTATTTTGATCTCCAACATTATTGCCGCTCTGCCTCTCACACACGCTCCTGTCGGCCTTACCCCTTCACCGCGCCATCTCCCCTATGCGTTGCCCTCTCCCCCTCCTCCTCCCCCCTCTCCAGTTCCCCTCCTCTCTGCATGCAGGGGACATCATTAAAGCCCGGGTAGACAAAGTGCTGCTGAGCGCTGCAGCTGCTGCTGCCGTGCAAGGGAAGGGGCAGGGCGGTGGGCAGGGGCAGAAGCAGGGGAAGGGGAAGGAGGAGTTGAGTGAGGAGGAGCGGCGAGTGGTGGAGGAGAGAGGAATGTGTGTGCTGATCAAGGGAGCCAAGGTGATGGTGCATGGAGGGGGGGAGAGGGTAGGGGAGGCTGTGGAGAGAACGAAGGGTGGGAAGGGTGAGAGGGGGGAGAAGGGTGAGAAGGTTGAGAAGGGTAAGAAGGGGGAAAGAGGGGGTTTGGAGGGCGGGGAAGCGGAGAAGGCGAGGGGGAAGGTGCTTGATGCAATGAGTGACGACGAGGAGAATGATTCTGCAGGGGATGAAGAGTATGAAGAGGATGAAGAGGAGGAAGAGGAGATGGAGGTGGATGAGGAGGATGAGGAGGATGTTAGTGATGAAGAGAAGGAGGGGGGCAATGGTGATGGTGGTGATGCTGAGGAGGAGGATGAGGATGAGGAGGAGGTTGCACCGCTGCCTGTGGCAGTGCGTGGTGCTGGTCTGGCAGGAAGAAAGCGGTTACCAGCAGAGGAGTCAGACGAGGAGGGAGTGGAGGAGGAGAGTGAGGAGATGAAGAAGCAGAGGAAGAAGAGGGCCAAGAAGCGCGAGAAAGAGGCCAGGCAAGCACTCCTGCTTCCTTTTTTTTTCTTTTTCTTTTTTTTTGTTTGCCATACGGTATGCTGGGTTTTTGCATGATTACTCATGCACCCCTCACGCATCCCTCACGCGCCATCACTCATGCACATGACTCCCCGCTTGGGTCTTCTATATTACCTAACGGTTCTTGAGCCAGCTCTTCTCTTCCACTCAACCCCCCCACTTCCTTCCTCCCTTTTCTCTCCTGAACGGCAGGGAGCGGGCGATACAGGAGGCGGAGCAGAGGAGGGTGAAAGGGCAGCAGGCGCCGGAGACAACCCAAGAAGTGATCCCTCCCCCCCCCCCCCCCCCCCCCCCCCCTCCTTCCCCCCCCAATTTCCTCTGCTCCTCCCCACCCCTCCACCCCATCCTCTCCTGAATGGCAGGGAGCGGGCGATACAGGAGGCGGAGCAGAGGAGGGTGAAGGGGCAGCAGGCGCCAGAGACGGAGGCGGAGTTTGAGCAGCTGCTGCTGGCGTCCCCCAACAGCTCCTTCCTCTGGATCAAGTTCATGGCCTTCCTGCTCTCGCTCTCCGAGATCGACAAGGCCAGGGCGGTGGCTGAGAGGTGAGCAAGCGCGCCATGGAAATTGGTTCAATGCGGTGGGATGTGGTGGGGAGGGGAATGAACAGATCGTTCCTGTGGATCAAGTTCATGGCCTTCCTGCTCTCGCTCTCTGAGATCGACAAGGCCAGGGCCGTTGCTGAGAGGGGTCAGTGTGGCGTGGGGTGTGCTGCGGTGGAATGTGGTTGAGAGGAATACGGACAACTTGTTCTTGTGACGTGGATTAGGTTCTTCCTGGTATGCGAGTCTTGTTTTGTGAAGTAGACAAGGTCAGGGCTGCTATAAAGAGGGGTTCATACAGAGGGGACTGGGTGGGTGGGTGCTGACGCTCTAAACCCTTCACCACCTTTCATCCCTCCCTCTCATTCGCCCAACCCATTCTGCCATGTCCGGCCCGTCACCCTTGCATGTGTGTGTGTGTGTGTGTGAGCAGAGCGCTGAAGAGCATCAGCTACAGGGAGGAAGGGGAGAAGCTCAACATCTGGGTAGCGTACCTCAATCTCGAGAACATGCACGGCAACCCACCCAAGGTCTGTTCTTGCACCTCCCGCAATGGGGGTGGGGCAACGGGGTTGGGACACAAGGGCTGGGGCAATGGGGGCTACGGACATGGGCTGGGCTGGACCTACCGTATGGGTGCGTGCGTGACCATGGCGCTTTGCTCTTGGGTTGGGCCTGAGGCAATGTGGAGTAGCATGTGTGTTCCCGAACTCTACATGCACGTGCGCCTCTGGGTTTCAATCAAGCCAACTCACCCCCTGTTTCTGCCCCCTTCCCTCCGCCCCGCCTCTTCCACCTTCTTCCCTCACCCATTTATTCCCCCACGGCCCAGCCTTTCCCCGCTGCTAAAACACGTCAGAGGCGGTGCTGGCGCTGTTCCAGCTCAGCGGGGCGTGCATGGACGGCCCTTTAGAGGCTGCATGTGCTTCCAAGTTTCAATCAAGCCCACTCTTCCACTTTCTGCCTCCCATCCCCTGCCCGCCCACACCGACAGGAGGCGGAGCTAGCGCTGTTCCAGCGGGGCGTGGTGTACACGCAACCCAAGAAGCTGCACGTGTTGCCGGGTTCCAATCAAGCCCACTCTTCCCCCCATCCCCTGCCTGCCCACACCAACAGGAGGCAGTGTTGGCGTTGTTCCAGCGGGGCCTGGCGTACACGGACCCGAAGAAGCTGCACGTGGCGCTGCTGGGCGTGTTTGAGCGCAGCCAGCAGCACGACATGGCGGACACGCTGCTGCACTCCATGGCCAAGAAGTTCAGCACCTCCGCTAAGGTCAGTTGAAAAGATCTTCTCGATAAGCCACGCTCTTGAGAGTTGAGGTCAGAGCATGGCTGTGCCCCCATCCTTGCCCTGTCATGCGTGCTAAGCGACGTCCAAGTCCCTCTGGTCCTGTGCATAGCTTTCTGGTCCTGTTCATTGCGCCTCTGCTTGCTGCTCTGTCGAAGGAATCCTCTGTCTGTCCTTGCGCCCCCTCGTGGACCGCGAGCAGGTGTGGCTGCGCTACATCCAGAACCAGCTCAGCCGCGGGCTGGAGGAAGGCGCGAGGAAACTTCTGGAGCGGGCGCTCACTGTGCTGCCGCAGAGAAAGCACATCAAGGTGTGGGAGTGGGAGGATTGCCCAACATGTTAGGGGCCTGGGAGCAGGGAGAGCAGGGACCATGTAGCGGGGTTGCTTTGCTTTCAACACCAGTGGAGTTGTCCATTCTGTTCTTTGTACACCTTTTGAGATAGTGGGGTTGCAACTGATTGTATGTCATCTCCCTCTTCCTCTCCCTCACTACTCCTCGCCCTGCATCTGCCCCATCCCCCTCACCTGCATGTCACTCTGCTGCGCGAGCGCAGGTGATATCCCAGGCAGCGCTGATGGAGTATCGCATTGGATCGCAGGAGAGGGGCAGGACGCTCTTTGAGAGCATTCTCCGGAACTTCCCCAAGCGCACTGACCTCTGGATCACTTACATCGACCAGGCAAGCGCATCTCCTCTCCTCCTGCACTCATCTGCCGCTGCTTTGTAGTTCACCCCGTATCGCCTACCTTCTTCTTGCCGTGCCGTGGCTCCCTGCCTTTCTCCCAACCCTTGCGCCATTTCACACCCCACCCCGTCCGCCCACATTCCTTACCCCATTTTGCTCGATCATCCCCCTTTCGTCGTTTTCCGTCCTCTTTCCCCCTCCTGTCACCGCTATCCCCTCCGTTCCTTGCCCTGAATCACTGCCGCTAACCGCTCTAAGCATATCCCGCACCTCCATCCCTCTCTCCTGTTCTGCCTCTCTCCCCTCCGCTCCTCACCCATTGTTCATGTACCACCAGGAGGTGCGGATGGGGGATATGGCGGCAGTGAGGCGGCTGTTTGAGCGAGTCGTATCACTGGATCTCCCACCCAAGAAAATGAAGGTGCGCTGTGCATGGAGATGTGCTTTGGATGAATTCGAAATACAGTTTGAGCCAAGTGCATGTGCCAAACGCATCTGCTAGATGTACTCATTCATGCCTCTCTATCCTTCCATGCTCGTCCCTCCCTCCTCCCACTCTCCTCTTGTCCTCTGCCTGCTCCCGCACTCCCCACCTGTCACACCAGTCACTGCTGAAGAAGTATCTGGACTTTGAGACGGCGCATGGCACGCAGGAGCAGGTGGCGCATGTGAAGGCGCGTGCTGTGGAGTATGTGCAGCGCCGCATGGGCGCAGGGGGGCATGCTTGATGCGCACAGGGGGCGAGGAGGCGAGCTTGTAACGTGGGAACAGATTTGGAAAAGAGTGCGTGCGGCGCCGCATGGGCGCAGGGGTTGACATTTTTTTAAGAGCGGAAGGGGCGGAGGCGAGCTCAGAACTCGTTACTATATGGCCTTCTAATGAAGGGTCTTGGGAGCGGTGCTTGGAAGCAATGTGGAAGGTCTGGGAGGAAATCAAGTCCCAATTACCGTAACCAACAAATGTATGGGGCTTTTGCAAGTGGAGGGTCGAGCGAAAGCAGCACATGTTGTGTGATTCAATGAATGGCTCGCACTGTGCAACACCAAGTAAGATCTGTCCATGTCGTTTGGATGCTAAATTTATCCACGCTTTTACCAGTTAACAGGCTGTAGTGGCGTCTATACCATAATGGTTCCCGGATTGTGGGGTAATTATCATTCTTGAAGTTTGTTTTTTAGAAGTGCACTACTAATTTTGTCTGAAGACGTGTTTCACAAGTCTAGAAGTTGCCGAATCCATTGTGCCCCTCGTTAGCAGGTTGTTCTAGCGGAGAATTTCCCGCCCCCCAACGCCGTTGCATTTGCCCCGCACTGCCGCTAGAGCAGCAACTGGCGCAGCTTGCTCCAACTCCCATTTTCCGCGCGCCACTAACCCCTCTCTCCATTGAACCTCCTCCCAGACCTAAAAGTTGCCTCATTTCTGAACCAAGGTTTTGAAGCACTTAACTAGTTACATTGTTCTTCGATCTCATTCTACATTTCCGTCATATTGTAGATCTTAGAACCTCGCCTTTTTGCTTGACTTCCCGTTAGGCTCTGATGCCGACGTCCGTATCTCCTCTGGTTCATTGGGATTAATCCGGCGATTTGACCACTTTCTAACATTCAGATGCGACACGAGCAAGAAGAGGCAATGAAGAGCCTTGGGCGAAGAAGTAAGGACTAATTTCCGTGATTGCCGTTGACGTGGATCTGCGCGCGGCTCATGCCTCGCGCAACTGTGCGTGTGGTTGAGCAGATGAAAAGGAAGGTGCGATGCCCGCCGGAATCATCGCTCGGACCGTGCGCAATGGGCGACGGTGGTCCCATCAAGCCTCGCAAGAAGGCCAAGGCGAGATCGGACGGTACAGAAGACGACACCTTGCTTCTGGGAAACGGCCTGTCGGCTTGCGGCAACTGCTCTGTGGTAAAACGCGGAAATCTTTGGATTTCGTTTCCTGATGTCTTCTGTCATGTTGTCCTTCTTGGGAATTTGGGTCATGGATTGTGATGTGTGTGCTACTCCATGCGCTCTTCGATGGCTGCCTCATATTTCGTCTGTAATCTGATTAACCAATGACTTGGCTTCCCGATCTGTTCTCCACCCCGCTTATCTCTACTGCCTCTTTCCCCCCTTCTCCCCCTCCTTTCTTCTGTCCTCCTTGCGCTCGTGTCCTGGTTTTTTTGTTTCTTATTTTTCCTTTGCTCCTTGCAGCTCCAGCAGAGATTAGACAAAGCGGAAGAAGGTAGGAGGAAGCTTCGCGAGGCGGTTGGATTACTACGAGATCGGATCGAGGAGCTGACACAGACCGTCGCCACTCTTCAACAGGGTGCGTGTTCGCATCATCTGGCTCTCGGTTCCCTTCTCCTTCTCCCTCTCCTCCTTCTCAATAGGCTTGTCGATTTGCTCATTCTAAACCGTTTTTATGCGAAATACTTTCCTGGCCTCCGTGTGCTTATTCTCCCGTCCGCTGTTTCCGAGAAGTGGCAGTTTCTAACCTGGAGAATGTCGCTGACTTCCTGCTCTTTCTTTGACAATCCTGTGTGTTTTCCTGCATGCGCAGACATACGACAGCAGCGTGAGGAGAATGACGAGTTACGGCAGCGGGTGGAGCAGGCAGAAGGGCGGGCAGATGAGGAGTGTCTACGGGCAGTTAAAGAAGCTCGCCGGGCAGCTGACGCTCTCGATGAAGCAGCGCGAGAGCGAGAGAGGGCGGAGGATTATTGCGCGCGGGTAAAACGATTAGAGCGGGAAGTAGCGGTGCTTCAAACGCGAGTTCAAGAAGACCAGCGAAGAGACGCGGAAGGTCATAGGGCCGAGGGTGAGGGGAGATTAGATGCCGGGAGAACTGAATCAGATGAGACGAAGCGACAGGCGTATGTTGATGGCGATATGTTGGGGAAAGGCCAGGGCGATGAGCACGACAGTGAGCAGGTCGGAGGACGGAGCGGTTCTAGCAGCCCCACAAGCGGAAGTGAAAGCAGCAGTAGCGACGACGGGGCCACAAGTGAGAGTAGTCGCGGTAGTGACTCGGATAGCGAAGCCGTTTCGTGCTCCAAGTCTGGAACGGACAGAGCGGGTGACGGCGAGGAGAGTGAGAGTGATGAGGGGGATAGCGACAGTAGGAAAATTGACCGACACAGGAATGATAGTGACGACGAGTCGAGGGGCGAGGGGAAGGAGAAGGCTGGGGAGGAGAAGGAGGAGGAAGTGGAGATAGATGTGGAGGGGTTGGAAGCCAATGGTAGCGACGAAAGATCGCAGGGTAACGAGACGACGCCACAGGCGACATTCGCGAGTGAGGAAAAGGAAATCGAGCTGAGGGATGAGTTGGGGGACTTGGAATTAATTGAATTGGGAGGGTGGAGTGATGGCGAGGGGGAGGTGGAGGCGGGAAGCGGAGGTGGCAAGGTGGAAGATGCGACGGGAGGAGAGCAGAGTCAGATTGGCGCGTGTGAGAGTAGGGGACGCGTGGGGTTGACGGGGATGCTAGAAGGAGCAGAAGAAACAATGGCGATGCCCACAAGAAAGGGCGAGTTTTGCGAGGATGGGGGTGAGCGTGAAGCCGCTGTACGGGATGTGAAGGAGGATGACCAGTCGCGGGAGTGTAGTGAAGGTGGGATGATGATTCCAGTAAAGGCTGTCACCCATGCTGCTGTGGCTACAGCAAGCATCACCAGCCTATTGCATGGCGATACAAGAATACAAGGCGAGAGAGAAGCGGAGGAGAGAGAGGATAGCGGCAAAGAGCACATAGTAGATTGCGCTGCTCCCGTTGCTGCTGCTGCTGCTGCTGCTGCTGCTGTTGCTGCTCCTGCTGCTGTTATGACCGATTCGCTAGAGCCTGATGCGATCCCTGCTGCCGCCGTCGTCATCCATACCTCTCCTGGTGTATCTGCCGCTGTTGCTGATGCAGTCACTTCCACTGCTGCAGTTGCTGATGTTGCTGATACGGTCCTTGATGTTGCTGCTGCTGCTGCTGCTGCTGCTTCTGCAGCTGCTGCAACTGCCACTGTAGCGGATGCTGACCCTAGCGGTGCTGCAATAACAGCCCCGTTGCCGCATCCTGCCACCACTGCCGGTACCGCCGCCGCCGCTGCTGTGTTAAGCTGTCCTGGCAATTTTCTGGGTACTGAGAGCGCTGAGAAGACCGGGCGAGCAGGCAGCGCGTGTAGCCTGCGGGCCATGAAACGTCTCGCCAGGAACCGAGGCCCGCATGCGCCCTCCGTGAAGCCGCCTGCATTGGCCCTCACACCTGCACCTTCAACGCCTGCGACTTTAGCTCCAGCGCCCGTAGCACCTGCGCTTGACTGCGCTCGCGCCGACCCCACAGGAGCCACAGCGGCGGCCATTGGTGAGCATACAGGCACGGTTCAGCGCGTGACAGCTGAAACACCTGATCCTGTGGTGATGGGGAGTAGCAACAATGGATATGGGACGGCAGGGGCAGATGAGGGACGGAGAGAGGAGGGGAATGTGCCGGAAGGGGGGCTGGACGGTGCGAGGGGGAGAAAGCGCAAGGATGGGGGAGGTTCCGACGGAGCTTCGTTGGCGCATGCGCAGGCGGCGGTGCGCGCGCCGATGGTAGGACATGGGGCGGCACGCGCGCAGAGAGCAGTGATGAGCACGGTAGTAGAGGAACCACCGCTGGATGATGTGCGGGCGTTCTTTGCGTCGCTCTGCTTCCCCGTGGCTTGCTCCCCGCCTGCCGCCCCGTCCCCGCCGTCGCTCACTGCATGCGAGGAGCTTATTCGGTCGAACAATGGTCAAATGGAGCAGCAGCCGCCGCCGGTGCAGCAAACCCTAAATGGGTGTACCAGACCCGCTGTGTCCGCGTTAGCTCCCCTTCCCCTGGGTCCTCTCCCCGCTCTCCTCCACCTGCCTTCCCCGCACCACCTGCGCGCCCCACCCGTGCGCGCGCTGGTTGGCCCTGGCCACATCGCCCCATGCAGGGACGACCGCGTTGGCCCCCTGTCGCTGCCTCATGAGTCCCACACCCCATCCAGCACACACGGCAGCTGCACTGCTATCGTCACAGCCACTGCCACCGCTACTCTCATTGCCACTACTGCTGTCGCCGGTGCCGCTGCCCCTGCTGCTGCCGCTTCTGCTGCTGTACGGGCCAATGCGGGTGCAGGTGTGAAGGGTGGAACAGATGTCACTGCCAGTGGCGGCAGCAGCACAGCAGGCAGCATGCCGCCTCCCCATGCCGTGTGCGCCTTCGCCCCGCCCTCAGGCTCCTCGCACTCCCTGTCAACCACTCAACCTCCTCCTCTTGCTGTTCCTGCGTCCCCTTCCTCTGTTGCTGGCGCGAGCGCTTCCCTCCGTGATGCTTCCGCATCTCACGGCTGCTGCAACGAGCAAATGCAGGCAGGCGCGGGCGGGATTCCGATAGAAGCGGAGATGGGGGGCGGGAAGAGGGGGCTAGAAGGGTGGGCAGAGGGGGATGGAGACGCGGAGCGGGATATGGAGGCGGAGAAGGAAGCGAGGGGAAGCTCGTGCGGCGAAGGGGCAGCGGTTCTACTTGACCATTTGGCTGCTCTGGGTGATCTGGGGGATGGTGGGGCAGGGAGGGGGAGGGGTTCTGGGAAACGGGATGCAGGCAGGGGGAAAGCGGGCGAGAGGGGGCAGGGTGGAGGGAGAGGGAGGCGGGGAGGTGGGGTGGGGCGGGGCAGTGGATTGGAAAGGAGAGCGTCTGGGAAGAAGGGGCAGTGGTGGGTTGATGTTGGGATGGCAGCAGAGGGGCAAGACGGGCGAGAAGGCAGTGCTGCAAGGGCTGCGGCGGCTCCCAGCCGTGGGCTTCTCCCGTCCTCTGCATCCCTCCCTGCTGCGATCTACCTCACTCCACGCTCCTCCTCCTCTGTGTCTGCCTTTGAAATCGCCAATCCCCTTGTGCCCCTTCTTCCCAACGCCACGGCCCCTACCCCTCCTATTCCTCCGTCTGCGCCTCCCCCGGTTCCTGCCCTAGTAGGTGTTCCGGGCGCAGGCGCGGGTGTTGGTGCAGGGCGCGCGGCAGGGGGTGTGGGTGCTGGTGCTGCCGCTGCCGCTGCCGCTGCCGCTGGCGCTAATGTTGGCGCCGGTGCCAGTGCTGGCATTGCAAGGGCGCGTTCATCGGGGGGTGGACAGTTGGTGGTGGCGCCAGGGGTGGCAGCAGCAGTGGCAGTGATGCAGGTGGAGAGGCGAGTGAGGGAGAGGCAACAGCGGGTGTTAAGGAGGATGAGGAGGGGGTCGAAACGAAGAGGGGAGAGCATGGGGAGGAACAGTGGGGCTGTTAGAGGTGTGCTAGGGGCAGCAGGGAGGGGAGAAACGGGCTATGGCGATGCTGGTGCGAGTGCGTTCTCTCAGGCTCTTCTTGCTCGTTCCAAGTCTGCTGGTGCTCTGTCTATTACTGCCCCCACAGCAGCACTCGCCCAACCATCACCAGCTACCGCCACCGCTCCTGCTGCTGCTGCTGCTGCTTCTGCTGCTGCTGTGGGTGGTGGTGCTGCTGCTTTTGGCACACCAGCGTTGCCTTCTGCTGGGTCGTGTCCTGAAAGCTCAGCTGCAACTCTCCCACCCTCTCTCCCGCCATCTGCATCCACCTCTCTCACACCCGTGTGCGCCCCTCCTCACGCGTCCGAGCGTGGCCCCATGTCCGTGGCTGAAGCCCTAGCAGCAGCAAAGGCAATCCAGCGCGAGCGGCAGGCGTTGGGCCAAGGAGGGGCGGCGACAGGAGCAGGAGCGAGGGCAGCACAGGGCAGAGGAGGAGCTGGTGGTTCCATGGTGCGAGGGAGTGGGAGCGGTGTAGGCGTGTGTGGGGTAAGCAGTGAGCAGCGAGGAGGGGAGCAGCGGAGGGGACGTGTGAGGGGAGAAGCAGTCTGGAGTGGCCTGGACGTGCTTCGTTGCTCTGCAGTACCTGCTGAGACGCCTCACTCCAGCACCCTTACCGCTCTCAACCGCTCGTCTATGCGAGCTGTTAACTGGAGGAGGCATGCTGCTAATGGGGCTGGAACAGGGGCAGTCAGGGGTGATGCGGGGTGCTGGGATGGCAGGGATGGGTATTGTAGCGATGGAGGTATGATGAGGCAGGGGCGAGGAGAGGCGAACAAGGCAGGATGGGCGGTGGGAGATGTGTTTAGAAGAGGAGGTGCAAGTGGGGACGGGCGGGAAGACGACGTGCGGGGCTGGTTGGGGAGTGAGGGTGGGGGATGGGAGAGTGACGTGGATAGTGGATGGGAGAGTGAGGGTGGAGGGGTGGAGGTGCGAGGAGGGAATGGGGTGTGGAAAAGACAGGATGAGAGCGCCTGGTGGGCCTCCAGTCTTCCTCCCTCGCCCACTCCCTCCTCTCCCACACCCCACTACCCTAACCCCTCGTCGTCACCCACTCCCCATTACGTAATTCCCTCATCACCTGCTCCTCATTACCCCAACCCTCCATCCCCAACTCCGCCGTCCCCCACGCGGCATGTGTTTCCCACACCGCAAGCATGACTGCACGCGTCTCTTGTGTGCATCGCAAATCGCACCACCCTCTGCTCACACCGCTTACCTTGTTCAATACCAGCAGTGTTATCCTTTCTACACACAGCCTCACTGCTGTCTGTCTCTTCTTCTGCAAGGCGGCGCTCCTAGGGTTCCGTCTTTACTGCCTGCATGCAACCCCACCCACCTGTCACTGCAGGGCCCCTGCCCTCTTCCTCTCCTCTTGCTCGCTGCTGCCTGCCCTGTTTGGCAAAGGGATGCTGTCTCAACCACAGCAGCTGCTGGCTCCATTACTGCTGCCTCTATCAGATGAGATGAGGCCTCGACTTCGTTGTTTGGATTGCCTTGCCTGCTCCATGGCAAGTAGCGATGTGTGGGCTTGCGTTGTGGCCACGTTGTGAGGCGCCTTACAAAGGAGTGCTTTTTTGGTTGGTGAGCCCAGCCCACCAGGGCTCGTGTTGTGGGGAATGTGTTGTGGTTTGGTTAGGATGTTAAGGCCTAGCGATTTAGTTGGGAGGCAATAGCTTCAGCCCAGCATCAATGGAGCAGAATCAGATACAGTGGGAGCAAAAAATGTGGCAGTTGTAACAGGGAGTAGAACCGTAGCTATGTACAGAGAATACGAGCAGGCTAGGGGCAAAATTGGATGGTGGGTGGGAGGGCAGCAGTTGCCTCCCTACCACATGTGCAAGAAACTTGGGATGAGCCTACAAAATTGGGGGGGGGGGGTGGTTGGGTGGGCCCTGAGTGGGCGGAGGGGCTAGGCAGGGCTAGAAGAGGTGAAAACGGAACCTATCTACACACGCGAGGTGGTCCGTGGGGGGGGGATAAGAAAGGTTGATGACATGCACAAGTGCTACCATATCTACAAAACTGGAGTGTGCTGTGGCCAACTAGGGCTAGGGAGAGAGGAAGGCACATCGATGAGGGCAGAGGGAGGGCAGTTGTGGTCGCTGCATCGCTGGTTAGGGAGGAAAGCAGTCACTGATCAAGGAGGGTGGTTGCTGTGTCCAGTGAGTGCTAGACTGGGTTAAAGGGAGGAAGATTAGGCTGTGGTACAGACAGGTTTCCGGGGGAGGCTGAAGACAGGCGGAGGAAATGGAGGAGGCTGAACAGATTTGTTGCAGAGCAGCGGGTGAAGTGGAGGGATGAGCTGAGGGCAGGGCACTGCAATCGGTGCTGCTATGCTACCAGCAGCACGGGCATGGCAGTCCGCGTGGTGCGGCAGACGCAGGCATCCACTCGTCCGCGTGGTGTGTTTATGGGAAAATGCCGCTAACTTGGTAGCTGCGGGCGATGCGCTCAATGGCTATGAGGTACGCTGCCGTGCGGAAGGAGCAGCCCTGGTGGTGACGCACAGGGGGGGGGAGAGAGGGAGGGGAGTGAGGGAATGGAAATTGTTAGGATTTGAGAAAGAGAGGTACGGCATTAGGCATTTAACGAGTGGTTACACCATGTGCTCTGGTAAGTGCATAGGTTGCAGATTTATGTTGCAACAACGCGTAGAATAGGAGGGTGTGTGATGTGATGTCATGTGACGTGAAGTGAAACGGTGTGATGCGGCGTGTTGTGATCTGGTAGAGTGGGATCTGGTATGGTGGGATGTGGTGTGATGCGGTGCAACAGGCACATACCCTCTCCTCAGCAATGCGGTCAACGTTCTCCCAGCCCTCGATCATGTGCTCCTCGAGCCCCGACCACACGAAGTCCTCCTCGGTGTTGCCGCGCACGATGGACTGCCGCGTGCTGTCGCTGAAGCGCGCGCCGCCTGCCATTTCCTGTTCCAGGGCGTCCACGAGCTGCTGCTTGCCGCGCTCCTCCATGCGGCGGCTCATGCGCCCGAAGTGGATGTGGTTGAGGTTCTTGAGCCACTCGAAGTACGACACCGTCACGCCGCCCGCGTTCAGCAGCAGGTCTGGGAGCACCACGATGCCGCGCGCCTGCAGCACCGCCTCCCCCGCCGCCGTCACCGGCCCGTTGGCCGCCTCCGCCACCACCTTGGCGCGGATGCGCGGAGCGTTGCGCGCCGTGATCTGCCCCTCCAGCGCCGCGGGGATCAGCACGTCGCACGCTGCCTCCAGGATGCTCGCCGAGTCGCTCACGGTGGTGGCGCCCGCGCAGCCAAGAATGGACCCCCCCGTGCGCGTGGCGTGCGCCTTCACGGCGTCCATGTCGAGCGCCTCGCCCGGCGCCGCCAGCAGCCCGCCGTTCCACTCCGCCAGCCCCACGATGCGGCCGCCCGCGGCCACTATGGCGTCGATGGTGTGGCGCCCCACGTTGCCAAAGCCCTGCACCACAAACGTCTTGCCGCTGATGCCCTCGCTCATGCCCAGCCGCCCCATCCACTTGCCGCTCTTGAAGAACTCCCGCAGACACACAAACACGCCCTGCCCCGTCGCCGCCGTGCGACCTCGGATGCCCCCCTGCAGTAACATGGAGCAGGGAGGAACGGAACCAGTGAGTGATGCACATCATAGTCGTTGTACATGGAGAAATGACACATTGAAGCGGCACGGTTCAGCGAGTGATGGCAGAATAGTGTGATGGCGGTTCCACCTGGGTGAGTAGCGACTCACCTCTTCCAGCGGCTTGCCAGTGACACACGCGAAGGAGTTGAGGTCGTTGGGGCGAAGCATCTGGTATGTGTCCTGCAGGGATGGGGGGAAAGGAACGAGGCAGAGAAGGGGACGTGTGCTGAGACTATTGTTCCATCCCTATTGTTCTTGTTGCGTAACAGTTACTACTTGTGACGCCGTGTGTGCATAGCGACATTTGATCCCATCTTTGCATTGCACACACCAGATTCCATGTCACGATCCAATTCCAGATATTGAGAGGCCCATATGCTTATTTAGTAATGCCACTTATTGATTGGCTCACCTTGATCCATGCCATTTCCTGCGGGCCAGTGCCGTAGTCGGGCGCAGGAACGTCCTGATAGCGCACCAGGGTGAACAGGGAGGGAGAGGAGGGGAAAAAGGGTGGACAACAGGCGACCTGAGACAGAAGTGGAAGAAAAGGAGGAATCGCGGAAGGGTGATTGGCGGCTTGTTCATTTATTACTGATAGCACGACCCTTGAGAGACGAATCTGATCTGATGTAAGGGCAAGACGGTATTAGAGTGGGCGCGTGTGGAGGCGGCTTACAATGGACGGGCCGATGAAGTTCTTCCTGACGAGCTCCGTGGTGTAGCGCCGCACGATGGCCTCCTTCTCCTGCATCGTGTACTTCTTCGGGTCTGCACGTCGCCCATAGTCGCACAAGAACGGCGAGACGAAAAACAAAGTCAGATTTTGCAGCTTCTGAATGATGGATGGTGATTCCGCTTGCAAGGAAAGAGCAGAAGAAATCGCTAGTTACTGGTGAAACGGCGCCTCCACCTACCAATCTTGATGCCGCCCTTGGCGCCGCCGAACGGCACGTCGAGCACAGCGCACTTGTACGTCATGAGCGCCGCGAGCGCCATGGTCTCCTCCGCGTCTACCGCGGGAGCCATGCGGATGCCGCCCTTGACGGGCAGGCGGTGGTGCGAGTGCTGCGCGCGGTACCCCTCGACGAGCTCGACGCGGCCGTCGGGCAGCTTGAGCGGAAACTGCACGCGGATGATGGTGTTGCACGCCTTGATCTGCGCCAGAATATCCGGCGACACGTGCGAGATGGCGGCCGCCTGGTCGAAGTACAGATCCACCGACTCCAAAAAGTTGGGCTCGGGGACTTCCTCGGGTTTTGCCGCCTCCTCTGCGGGAACAGAACAGATGTGGCAAGGACGCGACGCGAAGGATGAGTGCTGAGGCGATCAGGATGAGACTTGGCGTTCGTGACGTGAGGAAAAATCTGGAGAGCGAAGGATAAGTTGTGGAACTTACTGGAGGTGGAAGGAAGTTCGAGTTCGCCGGGCAGGGGAGTTGTGGGGCGCTGACACTGGAATGTTGGCATGACGGCCTGAGGTGTCAGGCATTGGACGACAGGAGCCATGGCGATTGATCGTGATTCCCGACAAAGTCACGTCAGCTTGGTGGCGGTGACGGTGTAATATGTAGTCTAAGGTTGCGATCCGCTATATTTCTCAGGCTAGAGATGCGTTCGTGTGATCGGACTTCGGGGGATGGCCTTCACGTGAACAAGCTTGAAACAACGCGAGTGTTGGTGATAATTTCAGCTGGAAGCGAGTGACGAACGAATGATGCGAGAGAAGGGGAACGAAGCAAGCTTTTGGAGGTAACGAAACGAGCATGTCCCCTCGCGCATTTACTTGCGAGCCGCGTTATGGCAAATGTGGACGTGGACAAGATCGAGTCGCAATATCCGATGGTGCGGTTCGTTCGAGTGGTCAGGACGACCGACGACGAATCCTGGTTTTGTTGCCAGCGTCAGCCGAGCTGGGAAACGGTTGAGTTGACTCGGATGCTGTGGTTGATCGAAGCAATTTGTGTGGTGAGGATTTTGCGTGGATTAGCACCACACCCCCCGGATATCTGGAAAGGCCAGCTCGACCTGCCAACAGAAACAATCCAAGTGCCAGCAATCTCTGCGGCAGCTGACGCAGAAGAATGCGTGGATTCCGGAACCATGTCAGGGCAGTTCTGGTGGCCTTTGTGTTGCCTATACGGCGGTGACATGGCACAGCGCAGGTGTGGAAAACAGGGGATCCCATAGGCTCAAGAGACGAAAAACAGAGTGTCCGTACCGTATACCAGTAAGTGAAAATGGCTGTAACGCTTCGCGATGGAGTGTTGATTTCGCTGTGATCCTATACTAACCGCTTCGTTTCTGAAATTTAGGGATGTTATTACTACATCTGCTAGTATAGTTTGCGATGGACTACTAGACATTAATCCACCACGTATATGGTTCTGTTGGCCCACCCCCAAATTGATTACAGCTCAGGCCCCAGCGCACATTGCGCTGGGCCATGTCATCACAGCGTGTGCACAAATCCCCCTTGACGAGCACGCTTGCTTTCCACGACTCCTCCACGTTCCCGAGAATCCAGCATCACAGACTTCTCCAGCGGGCCATGGCGGCTCGTGAAATCTCTCGCAGCGCTTACGTGGCAGCTTTGCAAATTCTCACCACCAAATGTCCACCAACCAGTTTCCCACTGATGCAGACACGAGTGACCTCACACCGCGACGCGACGACAGGTTGTCCCTTCCATCCATATGGAGACATCTTTCGCAAATCTCTTCACTCGTTCCACTCGCCTCGCATCAATCCGTTTCGTACATCTTTCGCTGGTTTCCGTTTCATTCAAGACACTCGACATTGACTCTTGGGAAGGCCGCCAGCTTCCCCCCTGCTTCTGTTCAATCTCCTCCGCATCGCCTTCTCTGGAGTCGCCAACGGAACCTTCATCTCAGCGTTGCTCATCACGGCAGCAATCCTTCCAGAGAGTCACAGCACCACAAATCAACAGCAATCCAACGAACGCACAACTTTCATCCGCCGCTGAGTCCTGCACGCCATCCCGCACGCCATCCCGCAAACGGAATCCGCCGAAAATAGCTCAGCGGAATCGGGTCGATCGACAACAACCAGCGTCGCCTACGTCTTCGAAGTTTCGAGTGGAAGAGAGCATCTGTCACCATGCCGCCTGTGGTTCAGTGCCAGTCGCAGCCTCAAGCCATCCCATTCACATGCCCCGTCATCCCCGCGCCCAAGGCGCCGGCGCCCGCGGTCGCAGCAGCGCCAACGAGTAAGTGCTATGCAGAATTCCAATGCGTTGATTGAGAAGGCTCTTGCCATTAGTACCTAGTACCTATGGTCGCGCCGCGTGCGCATCGTACCATTTGTTTTCGTGGAACTTTGCATCTTGTAGTTAACATGACTTGACTCGCGACGTGCTTGACTCGCTTCGTGCATAAATGTGTCCATTACGACGATGCTGCAGAGCCCGCCGAGGCAGCCGCGGTCCCCGAGCCTAACTTTTTGGAGTCGGTGGATCTGTACTTCGACCAGGCGGCGGCCATCTCGCACGTGTCGCCGGATATTCTGGCGCAGATCAAGGCGTGCAACACCATCATCCGCGTGCAGTTTCCGCTCAAGCTGCCCGACGGCCGCGTCGAGCTCGTCGAGGGGTACCGCGCGCAGCACTCGCACCACCGCCTGCCCGTCAAGGGCGGAATCCGCATGTCGCTGACAGTGGACGCGGAAGAAACCATGGCGCTCGCGGCGCTCATGACCTTCAAATGCGCGCTGCTTGACGTGCCGTTCGGCGGTGCCAAGGGCGGCATCAAGATCGGTAGGTGGTGATGATCCGTGATCAGCTAAAGCTGAAATGTCGTACGTTTTTTCACTGAAAGCAGTTTTTGTGCTATGTGGCTGACTATCGATTTTCCTTTTTGTGGCGGTGCGCTCTGCGGTGTATCCCTTGATGTGCCTCTCGTCTCCCAACAGACCCGCGCAAGATCTCACCAGAGGCGAAGGAGGCCGTTATCCGACGGTACACGTCGGAGCTGGTGAAGAAGAACTTCATCGGCCCGTCCATTGTAAGCCGCTCCCCCGCTCCGAACTTGAATCGCTTGACTTATCTCGCTCGGCTTGTCTCGCTCGTCTTGTCTCACTCGCCTTGCTGTGAAATGCCCATTTATGTCGTCCTCGTGACTCTACAATCCTACTCGTGCCTGCTGTCTCCGTGACCCCTCATTCAATTATTCCCTTCTCCCATGTCCCCTCTCGATGCGCCATCAGGACGTGCCCGCGCCCGACTACGGCACTGGCCCGCAGGAGATGGCGTGGATCAAGGTGAGCCGCACTGCTCGCTGCACTCGTTTCTTCCCAATCTGACCAACCGACCGACCAACCGCCGCCGATGCCATGATCCATCTTACATCGCCCAACGCACTCGCTTCCACCACGTCTCAACCACCCTCCCTCCCGTGCTCACCGGATTCACTCCCTCCCCCACTCATCCTCCCACGGCCTCTGTCTTCCAGGACACGTACCAAATGCTCAAGCCCGGCGACCTCAACTCCTTCGCGTGTGTCACCGGCAAGCCGCTGGAAGAGGTGAGGCACCACCCTTCGAGGTGTAAGCGCGCGATGTTTCCATCATCGCTTACTCACTGAACGCAGTCATACATGCACACCTCAGCTGTGGATCACTCACCCGTGCCTAATCATCTACGGTTGCTTGCTTCCTGTGTGCACGCCTGTGCCTGCAGGGGGGCATCCGGGGCCGCACGGCGGCGACGGGGCAGGGCGTTTTTGTGTGTCTGCGGGAGTTCTTCAAGAGCGGCAAGTGGATGGGGCGGCTGGGCATGAGCGAGGGCATCAGCGGCAAGTCGTTTGTGGTGCAGGGCTTTGGCAACGTGGGGCGCCACACCATCGACGCCATAGTGGCCGCGGGCGGCCGCATCGTGGGGCTGGCGGAGTGGAACGGCGGGCTGCTGGCGGCGCCGGGCGAGGCGCTCGACATGGACGCGGTGAAGGCGCACGCCGCGCGCACGGGGGGGTCCATTCTTGGCTGCGCGGGCGCCACCACTGTGAGCGACTCGGCGAGCATCCTGGAGGCGGCGTGCGACGTGCTGATCCCCGCGGCGCTGGAGGGGCAGATCACGGCGCGCAACGCTCCGCGCATCCGCGCCAAGGTGGTGGCGGAGGCGGCCAACGGGCCGGTGACGGCGGCGGGGGAGGCGGTGCTGCAGGCGCGCGGCATCGTGGTGCTCCCAGACCTGCTGCTGAACGCGGGCGGCGTGACGGTGTCGTACTTCGAGTGGCTCAAGAACCTCAACCACATCCACTTCGGGCGCATGAGCCGCCGCATGGAGGAGCGCGGCAAGCAGCAGCTCGTGGACGCCCTGGAACAGGAAATGGCAGGCGGCGCGCGCTTCAGCGACAGCACGCGGCAGTCCATCGTGCGCGGCAACACCGAGGAGGACTTCGTGTGGTCGGGGCTGGAGGAGCACATGATCGAGGGCTGGGAGAACGTGGACGACATGGCCGAGAGCAGGGTGAGCCGTTCTGCTCTACTTCCACTCCATGCTGCTGTGCTGATCCCTGGCTGTACGTCCACAGTGGTGCTGAAGTTACATGCAGGAGCATTTTGCATGCGCATGGGCTTCTCATGTCAAACTTCCTTTTCCACGTCTTGCCTTTCTATCTCTCCTGTCCCTCCCTCCTCTCCCACCACCAGGGCTGCTCCTTCCGCACGGCAGCATACCTCATAGCCATTGAGCGCATCGCCCGCTCCTACCACGTCAGCGGCATCTTCCCCTAGACACGCTACACGGCTTGGAGCCTGCGACGGCTGATCTCGCCCCTCCTTTAGTCCTCCCCTCACATTTCTTCCTGCCTCCACCTTCAGTGCTCAAAGCTTCCCCATTTCTGTCAAATTGCTTCGATCGAGGCCCTGTTTCCTGCTACCACTGTGCACAACTGTGCACCATTGTCTACCACTGTACATCTCTCTGTACAGCATCTAATTTTGTCAGCTGCTGATCCCGCCCCTCCTTTAGTCCTCCCCTCACATTTCTTCCTGCCTCCACCTTCAGTGCTCAAAGCTTCCCCATTTCTGTCAAATTGCTTCGATCTAGGCCCTGTTTCCTGCTACCACTGTGCACAACTGTGCACCATTGTCTACCACTGTACATCTCTCTGTACAGCATCCAATTTTGTCAGCTGTGGGTGTGCCGCTGAGCTATGCACTGCACGGCTCTGTCCCCTCCCACTGTTCAATTTTGCCCTGAGTTTATGTTTCTTATGTGCTTTGGATGAGGTTGTGTGTAACTAGCTGTGTGCTTGCAGCTTCTGCCATATCCTCTTGCCACTGCATGCAATTTTGTGGATGTGTACAGCTCTTTATTGCTCTTCTCATTATTATTGCTTTGCTTGGTGAATTTACATTGTTTCAAATTGAATGTTTTGGGTTAAATATCAGATCCACAGCTCCATAATCTTGGTACGGTAAGTTGTGCAAGACTTCCAATTTGGAGATACTACGGCTAGCTTCACAAAAAGCAGCATATGACAATAATCAGAGCTGGTAGGAGGTGATGAAACCGTGTCAGTCACAGGGGTACCGGTATATGTTCATGTTTTGAAAGACTCGGGTTTCACAGGTTTGCGTGATACATTGATAATGAATACCACCGGTACCAGCTGAAGAATGTCACAATCCGCTACAGAGAAACAACACAGCCGCACAACTCGTTTCAGCATGGCAATTTATAGACTGGCTCTTCTGGGAAGTCCTTACCCACCCATCAATACAATACCCGTATTCTCCCGGACATAACACCCGGGGGTATTATGATAACCACAGGGAAAAAAGGGGGGGGGTCCTCTCAACGGAAAATCCTATATAATACCCGGGTGGTTATATATGGTATATTTTAATGCAAGAGGATTCTCAAATTAGACAGTTTGGGTGTTTCAATGGTCGTTTTAACATCACAGTTTGAGGCGAGAATGTGAGTTTTGGCAAGAATGTGAGTTTCACCTTTCGAGCCACTTGCAGCGGAAGATTCGCCAGCGTGGCAACTTCCTAGAATGTGGGATGGGGGAAATGTCCACTTGCAGCGAAAGATTCGCCAGGGTGGCGACAGTGAGATTGTGGGAGGGGGAAATGTTGGCGGATTCTAAGTGCAAGTACGCGCGAAATTTCATTTAGGAAGCAATTCTCGCGATATTCCCCTGTAAGGAATCAGACTCGATAACAACTATAATAGGAATCCGTAAGAAAAGGGGGGTGTTATAGAAAATCATCCAAAAAGGGGGGTATAGTAGAAACGAGGTCGCCCATAGCACCCACCCCGCACAAGCTACCCGGGGGTGTACTATCATGGGGGGGTGTTTTGTCCGGGAGATTACGGTAACAGCATGGAGAAGTTTGAAGGATTGCTTTCTGTTGTGCTGTGCTGCGGTGTGCCATACGCAGTGTCATTCTCAAGTACCTTCCCGCTGCCCGCACCACACCCAGTTTCCGAGCCACACCCCCTTCCTGCAGGTTCAGGTGCAGCACCACTGTCTTGCGCACTCCCCCTCCCCTAGAGCCGAGTGCAGGCGAAGTCACAGTCGTCCGGAGCGAGCTGCGTGAGCCAGTTGCTGAGCGTGCTCTTGGCGCTGAGCGTATCAGACGCCGCCAGATTGTACATGGAGCACAGGTTGAGCACCACTGTCTCGTCGACAGCTGTCAGCGGGCTCGCCTGCAATTGGTCCTCCAGCACCCGAACCGCCGTCGCGAGATCTCGGCCGTACATCAGGCAGAGGGCCTGATCGGGAACAGAAGGCAAGGGGATGAAATGGTAGGTGGGTGGAACCATGTGAAGGGTAACTTTATGACGACACCACACCAATGTAACTCGGTTACAACACCAAATGTAACCTGTGAGACGCCTTCTGCGCTGCCTGACTCAACTGGCTATCTCACCATGTAACCCAGTTACCACATTGCCTCACTTGGCCTCACCCTGTTGTTGGCAGGTATGGCGTTGGTAGGTAGGGTCCTCGTTGGTGCAAGCAGAAGAGAGCCTGCCCATGCTCATTGCCTTCAGCATTGGCTGACTCACCAGGCTATCCCACCAAGTAACCTGGTTATCACACGACTCACCTTGCTATTCGGAGCAATGGAGTTCGTACGATCCTCTTTGGTAACAGCACCCAGCACAGCACACAGCACATAGCACACAGCACACAGCACATAGCACACAGCACACAGCACATAACACACAGCACGTAGCACACAGCACATCGCACATAGCACACAGCACACAGCACACAGCACATAGCACACAGCACATAGCACACAGCACATAGCACACAGCACATAGCACACAGCACATAGCACACAGCACATAGCACACAGCACACAGCACATAGCACACAGCACATAGCACACAGCACATAGCACATAGCACACAGCACATAGCACACAGCACATAGCACACAGCACATAGCACACAGCACATAGCACACAGCACATAGCACACAGCACACAGCACATAGCACACAGCACATAGCACACAGCACATAGCACATAGCACATAGCACACAGCACATAGCACACAGCACATAGCACACAGCACATAGCACACAGCACATAGCACACATCACATAGCACACAGCACATAGCACACAGCACATAGCACACAGCACATAGCACACAGCACATAGCACACAGCACATAGCACACAGCACATAGCACACAGCACATAGCACACAGCACATAGCACACAGCACAAAGCTGACTGCACAGCATGATGCAGAGACATCTCACCTGAAGTGCACATCCCCTGTCAGCATAGCAGTGGTGCGACCATACCACTCATGTTTAAAACAAGTGTTGAATGCAAGTCCCCCCTGCTTCAGCTGTCCCCTCTACTCTACCTGCATGCTCCGACCTGCCAACAACCCAAGGAGAGAAGACGGATTCCAATGTAAATGAATATGCAGCGCGGTGCAGCGCGGTGAAGCACATGTATTGGGTGCAGCGCGGTGTAGCGTGGTGAAGTGCGACGAACGAAAACGGCTCACCAGTTCCGAATGCATGTGCGGTCTGAAGTGGCCATGTGCGGTGCAAGGCGCAAGCGACAGGACCGAATGCGGTCACACATGCGTTGGCCTGCCTCAGAGAGGAGGTGACGTAGCAGGGCGTCAGAGGGGAGGTGACGTGGCAGGGCGTCAGAGGGGAGGTAACGTGGCAGGGCGTCAGAGGGGAGGTGATGACGTGGCTGAGCGACGGCGTGCACGGCCCGGAAGACGGCCCAGAGGGGAGGTGACGTGATGGGGGAGGTGACGTGGTGGGGGAGGTGACGTGGTGGGGGAGGTGACGTGGTGGGGAGGTGACGTGGTGGGGGAGGTGACGTGGTCGGGGAGCGCGCCGCACGGGCGTCACTGTCTGAACGTGAGCAGGGGAGAGGGGAGGTGAGAAGAATCCGAGCCCGTCGCTCTGCGCCCATGCGCGTCGCTCTGCGCCCATGCGGGCGTAGCACTGCGCCGATGCGCGTCGCACTGCGCCCATGCGCGTCGCACTGCGCCCATGTGCGTCGCACTGCGCCCATGCGCGTCGCACTGCGCCTCGAACTGTTCTTCTATCGACAGCCGACCCAACGCCATCGCGGCGATGACGCGAAGAAGTAACCGGCGGTGGCGAAACTTAACCGCCACGATTCGAAGGAGAGCGACCATTATGCGGTGAAGCTTTTCATCTGATGCGTGTGATCACGGCCAGAAACTTTCCCACAGCAAGAAGAAACGACATGACGGGGGGGTTCATGAGAGACTTTCCCAATAACGCAATGTGAGCGGGGGCATCGTGAGTGGGAGTGTAAGGATTTACAGAATCCTTACTGAGGCACTCGTTAGCGAGGACATCCCGAGGGTCACGCGACGAACCTGTCCTTCCTATTTCGTCGCACCGAACCACCCCCGAGTCGCCTCCGCACCAATCGCACCCATCACCGAGCCATCCTCGCCCAACCTCCCCGCCTTGCTAGGACTTCCCCTATTTAGGCCTCGTCACTTCCATTGAATTCAGTAATTCAGTAATCAGTCATTCTCGTTATTCGTTTTACTGCGCACTCTGCAAGTTCATTCATAACAGGGAGCACCGTGAGCTTGGGCAATAAGGTAACGCGATGTGGTAGTGTGCTGTACTGTATGCTGTGCTGTGTGCTGACTATAACGGGTTTTCAAAAACCATTCGGGAGAGCAACAACAACACAGCCACACAAAGGCGACACGATATTGTTGTTCCCTGTGCAACAGCACAGAAGCAGCCGTTCAGTTGCGCGTCCGCTCGCGAGTAACAATTTCTACGTCCGATCGACGTAGGCGAAATCATGCGATTTTGTTTCAACGAATCACCGTCGTCGTAGTCGTCGCGCAGGCGCGGCGCGGCTCGACTGACTCCGATGGCCTTCAGCAGTGCGAACCGCCGCGACTACAACGGTCACATTCACAACCACGGTAGCGGCAGTCGCTGCGAGAGCGGCAGCAGCGGCGAGAACGAAAAGTGGCGGAGAGCGCAGGTGCGCGGAATGCTGCGCGCGCCCATGGGTTACTTTTCTCACTAGTTAACTGTCGTCCCTTTGCTACAGGCGACTCTCTGCCTACTGCTGCCCTTCTCCATGAGCTCAGATCAGTGGCGGAACGAGCAGTGGCGGCGAGCGCATGTGCGCGGAATGCTGCGCGCGCCCATGGCGCGCGCGCGCGTGGTGTCCATCGACGACCTCGTCGTCTCCGCCCGCCACCTGCCCCGCCCGCTGCTGGATACGAGTCTGGGGGGGGGCGCGGGGAGGGCGAGGTGGGGCTCCCCTGCTCCGCGGCCCGCTGCCGCGCTGCCAGCCACCTGCCAGCGTGGCAGCACCGGGTGTGGGGAGAGTGACGTGGAGAGGTGGGGCATGGTGTGTGCGCGCCACGTGGCGAGTGGGCGGCAGGTGAATGTGTTTGTGTACACCCACCCACTCGTCCACCCCACGATGCACCCCAGCATCAGCATGCGACGGCAGTGCCCCATCCCCCAGGGACTCTCAGAGGGGGCGACCTTTTCTCTCCAAAACGCCCTGCTGCTGCCCGCCGCAACCGCCTCTGCTGTCAGGTAGCACCCGCCTCTGCTGTCAGGTAGCACCCGCCTCTGCTGTCAGGTAGCACCCGCCTCTGCTGTCAGGTAGCACCCGCCGCTCTTCCCCCCTTCCTGTGCATCAGAAGCTGTGCTGCTCGTGCCGTGTTAGCCTCTCTCACTCCGTAGCACCTTGGCCTGCTGTACACTACAATCTCTCTGCTGCCATGCGGCTCCACAATGTGGAATGGAAGCGACATGTCGCTGCGGTAGCTAATCTCTCTCTCTCTCCGCCCTCCACGGCCCAGCTCAGGTGACCTTGCCATCTGCCGCGGGCCTGCTGGGCTGCAAGCACAAGGGAATGCATCGAATGACGCAGCACATGACAGCAGGGGCGGTGAGGGCGGGCAGTCAGGCCAAGAGGTGGTGCGAGTGCGGATGGTTGCTTGCTCCCACATGCTGCTGCTCTCCCCTGCCCCTCCTCCCCCGGCCCCTCCTGCTGATGCTATTGCTTCTGCGACTGCTACTCCCCCTCCTCCTCCTCCTCCTCCTCCTCCTCCTCCTCCTCCTCCTCCTCCTCCTCCTCCTCCTCCTCCTCCTCCTCCTCCTCCTCCTCCTCCTCCTCCTCCTCCTCCTCCTGGTTTCAACCATGTTCCGCCCAGGCTCCCCCCACAGCATTCTGCCACAAGTGCAACCATGCCTGCTGCCGTGCCTGCTCCCGTGCCTGCTCCCATGCCTGCTGCTGCAGCAGCGACAGAGGGTCGAGTGAGAGGGGGTGGTGTCGGAAGGAGTTCTGATTGGGATAGAGCGGAGGGGGTGCAGGAGAGATGGCGCGGTGACATGGGCGGTAGAGGAGGGACGAGGGTGGAGGAGAGATGGTGCAGTGGCATGGGAGGAGGGGTGGCAGGAGGAGGTGTGGGTGGAGGAGGGGTGGCAGGAGGAGCGGGTGGAGAGGGAGTGCGCACTCGATGCTGGGTGAGAGCGGGGTGGCAGTTGGGGATTTGGTTCATTGGAGAGTGGGTGATGGTGCTGCTGTATGGAGCATGTGTGTGGTGTTTGAGTGTGTGGCGTTAGAAAGTTTGGTGTTTGAGTGTGTGGTGTGGTGTGTGTGATGATAGCCCAGTGTGGAGTGGAGTGCGGTGCTTCATGGGTTACTCACATGTCTGAAAGTGTTGTTCCCTTAGCCTTGCCAGGGCAGATGCGCTGCGTTCATAAGCAGCCATCCCATGCGTCCTATTCCCCCCCCTGTCCTCCTCCCCTCTCCCTAGTTAGTAGCAGTGCCGTCCGTGTGCCTGCTCCCTGTGTGCCCCTCTGCCTGCTGAGCCTTTTCCACCTCCCCATTTCTTCCCCCGTCCCCAATCACTTCCCCCTTCGTGTTCATTCCACCCCCCCCCCCCCCCCCCCCCCCCCCCCAGCTAGCAGCAGTGCACTACGTGCGCCTGCTGCCTGTGTGCCCGCCTGCCCTGCCGCTGTCAGCACATGTGTGTGAGGGGGGGGAGGCCTTGCTTCGCCCCACCCATGGGCTTGGGCGGCAGCAGGCAGGGGGGCAGCAGGGAGAAATGGAAGAAAATGCTTGTGCGAGAGGGTGGAGGGCGGCAGGGGATAGAATGGATGGGCATGCATCAAGGGATGGCGATGGTAGGGAGGGTTCTGGTGTGCTGCATGAAAGGGAGGAGGAGGAGGAAGCGGTTAGTGGTGGGAGGGAGGAGGCGGAAGCGTGTCCGATGGAGGAAGAGGAGAGCGGAGGGAACAAGGGTGAGGAAGAAACGGGAGGAGGAGAGAGAGAGGCAGAAGGGATTGCAGAGGAGGAGGAAACTGGAAAAGAGTGTGCAGAGAAGCATGTGGGTGGGCGGAAGGAGTGGTGGCAGGAGGTGCTAGAAGCGTTTAGGGAGGAGGAGCGTGAGGTGGAGAGGAGCGCAGTGGAGGGGTGCTGGACGGTGGGGCGTGGAGGCGGGGAGATGAGATGTGATGACCAAAGGGGAGAGTGTGAGCGAGTGAATCGTGTGAGCATGGAAGGGAGTGGTTGGAGTGATGAGGATTTGGAAGAGAGTGAGAGAGAAGGGGACGGGAGGGCAGAGCACAGTGAATTGAGAAGTGCAACGAGGAGGGAAGGGGGAGCGAGTGGAAATGAGACAGGTGTAAACAAGGCGAGTGGAGACATGGCGAGTGGTGACGAGTGGATGGAAGGTGATGATGATGGGAGCACAGAGGCATGGAGGGAAGGGAGTGGATGGGATGATGAGGATGAGTGCGTGCGAGAAAGGCAGGAAGGGCAGGAGGGGCAGGAAGGGCAGGAGGGGCGTGCACGAGAGGAGAGTGAGGCGGAGAGGGAGGAGGAGAGTGAGAAGGAGAGGGAGGAGAGTGAGGAGGAGAGGGAGGAGGAGAGGGAGGAGGAGAGTGAGGAGGAGAGGGAGGAGGAGAGGGAGGAGGAGAGGGAGGAGGAGAGTGAGGAGGAGAGGGAGGAGGAGAGTGAGGAGGAGAGGGACGAGGAGTGGAAGGATGAGAGGGACGAGGAGAGTGAGGAGGAGAGTGAGGAGGAGAGGGAGGAGGAGAGTGAGGAGGAGAGGGACGAGGAGTGGAAGGAGGAGAGGGACGAGGAGAGTGAGGAGGAGAGTGAGGAGGAGAGTGAGGAGGAGAGTGAGGAGGAGACTGAGGAGGAGAGTGAGGAGGAGACTGAGGAGGAGAGGAACGAGGAGAGGAACGAGCAGAGGAAGGAGAAGAGGAACGAGGAGAGGACCGAGGAGAGGGACGACAGCGGAAGGGAGGGCAGCAGGCAGAGGCAGCGCAGGGTGTGTGGGGCGTGTGGGTGCGACACGGAGAGGCACGGCGTGCTGGTGGCTCGGCTGCTCTGCTCCCTCGGTAACCAACCCTCGTGCCGCTGCCCCACACCCTTCCTGCTCCGCCCCACGCCCCTCTCCTTCACCCTCCCCATGCCCCCTCTTCCTCCGCTCGCCGTCTCGCCCTCATCCTTGTGCATTTCAGCACCGCGCTCTTGCCAATTTTCATCTTTCACTTCTCCCCCGTCGTAATTTCACTCTCCCCTCATAGCCTTTTCACACTGCCCCATCGTCTTTTTCACTCTGCCCCATCGTCTTTTCCCCCTCCTTCCTTCCCCTCCCCCTTTCCCCTCCCCCATTCCCTTCCCCGCTCCCCCTTTCCCCTCACCCTTTCCCCTCCTTTCGCGTCAAACTTTTCCCTCCCCCGCTCCCCATTCCCCCTCCCTCCCCTGCAGACAACGGCAACCGCACCTTCCGAGCAGCTGCCAGTGGCTCCGAAGCGGCGCTTCTCCTCTTCGCCGCCTGTCTGCCGCCCCTCCTGTGCTCCTGCCACCCATGCCGGACGGCACAGCTTGGCGCATCTGCAAATTCGGCATGGCAGGCAACAGAGGGATGGGCGCGAAATGCAAGGGGAGGGGGCGTGAGGGAGGCGGACGGGAGGGAGGCGGAGAGGAGGGAGGCGGAAGGGAGGGCGGTGTTGGGGTGGGGAGACGTGCAGCTTTTGAGTCAACTGGAAGGCCAGCAGGGTGTCAAAGCAGGGGAGATGTGGAAGGCGGAGTGGAAGGAGGTGCAGCGGCGGGTGCGGAGACTGGTATGTGAGCGGGGGGTGGTTGAGGTCGGGGTGGGTAGCATGGGATGGGGCGAGGAGGGGAGGAGGACAGGGGGATGGAAGGAGGGGAGTGGTGCGAGGAAGAGGGGTGCTTCTGATGTGGAGAGTGGGTGTGGTCAGGATGTAAGGCAGGAGAAAACGGAGGAGGAGAAGGAGATGGAGGCAGCAGAGAGGGGGTTAACTGGGGCAGGTGCTTCTGGGAATGTGCAGGTGGCATGTGGAGTGATGGGCGTGAGTGGGGCAGTGCCGTCAGCTGCACAGGCGCACGTACGAGATGCGGCAAACGTGTGGACAAGCAGAGCAGAGGGGGCAAGCAGGGCAGGGGGGCCACATGCATGCTTACTGCCAAACTCTTTGCTGGGTGCTGCTGCAACAGTGGAGGGGCGGGAAGTGGATGGGAGGGAGGAGGAGGGTAGGGAGGAGGAGGGTAGGGAGGAGGAGGGTAGGGAGGAGGAGCGAAAGGAGGAGGAGGGGAGGGCGGAGGCAGGGGAGGTGCAAATAGGGGAACGCCCTCTGCTGGCGCTGCTGATGGCCATGGCTGTGCGACAACGTCCCCAGGTACCGTGGCATGAAATGGCAGGGCGGGGGATGGCAGGGTTGGGGGATGGCAGTGTGGGGAATGGCAGGGTGGGGGATGGGTGGGTGGGAGACGGTAGGCCGGGTGATAAGAGGGTGGGCAATGGAAGGGCTTGAAATCAAGGGCTTGAAATCAAGGGCGCCTCTGCAGCGTGTGGGAGGCCTCCAGGTGGCAACCTTGTTAATATCATTCATGCAATCCGCCATCCATCTCCCAGGATGGCAAATAAATAACCTCTCTGCATCTGTGCTTCATCAAGTGTGTCCCTAGATGACAAATAAGCTCCCCTGTGCTTCGCTCTCCCCGTGCTTCGCTCTCCCTGTGCTTCACTCCCGCTGTGGTGTCCTCCCTCAGATGGTTCACCTCCTGCCAGCCACTGACTCCTCGCCCTGTGCACCACAAAACGGGCTGCAGTGGACAGTTGTGCAAGTCTCTGCAGTTGACCCCTTGATAGAAGCGTATAAGTCCCTACAGGCACTGATGCCACTTGCTCCTACAAGTGCACAGACAGATGCAGTAATGGATGCGCCAATGGAAGTTTGAAGATATCAAATCTGCCCTGTTACAGAAGATAGAAACAATGCATGCATTAAAACAAGTCTGCACTGGCAAACTAGGTACCTAAATCTCCTGTAAGCCCCAGAGCTTGACAACTGGTTGGGAAATGCTTTTTTGAACGAGCACATGATTCTTTCAATGGGGAAAGTTGGTTATTTTCAAACTACCGTCATCACCCGGATAGAAGACATATATGTCTTATCTTATACATTAGAAAAAAAGCTTGCTGTGTCTTGTAATTGGGACGGTTTAGGGTGTCTTATAATTCTTATAAATGGACAAAAAACCGTTTAGAAGATACCCCCTAGTCATAAGATTGCCCCTAATCCCTAAACTGGCTTAACTAGGGATGTCTTATCAGTGTTGCGATCGGAATTCATCGCAATCCCATAAATGTCGACAAGGCTGGAATTTTCGCCTCTTGCAGGAGTTCCTGCAGATAGAGGCCTTCGCGAACTGCTGCGGTTGCTGCGATGAATTCCGCTTCCGCTGATGACAGGGCAACCAGCTCCTGCTTCTGCGAGTTCCAGAAATTGGTCCCGTAGGCTCGAGTCGGAACAGGAACCCAGTCCTGGACCGTCGATTATCGGGGTCTGCTGCGTGATCGGCGTCCACATAGCCGGTGAGATTGAAGGATGGGGTTGGTGCAGTGGAGTAACGCAGCCCAATCTTAGGCGTTGAAACGAAGTATTGGAGGGCGCGCTGTAGGTCCAGAAGGTTTTCAGCCGTTGGTTTGCGTGAGTTTTGCGCCAGCTGACTTGCAATGTACGAGAGGTCTCGCCTGCAGGTGACAGAGGCGAAGAGGAGGCATCCCAACTGCTGTTGATAAGTTTGAATCCCAGCGGGGGGTAGGGCTTTGGCGTCGGGTTTGTGGTTCGGTCCGGGGTTTCGGTAGGGAGTTGAGAGAGGTGCAGGTGAAATGTTGAACCGCTTCCCTAACTCCTCTGCGTACTTAGCCGCTGAAAGGTGAATGGCTTCGGGCGCGTAGGTGATGTTGAGGCCTAGGAACTGCTTCACCTCGTAGTTGCATGTGATGTCGACGCGCCCCGCCAGAGCCTTTTCGAACTGCTGGAGGAGCTCGTAGTTTGAGCCTGTGTAAAGCAGGTCGTCGACGTACACAGTGAGGAGGATGTATTCGCCGCAAAAATCACGGCGGTACATCCCTGGATCGTGTGGCATTTGCTTGAACCCGATTTCAAGCAGGATGTTATGCAGGTGACATATGCGCGAGTCTCCTTCGCCGTAGGTGTGTGGCTGCTCCACGTAGATCACGGCATCTACTAACGCATACAGGAACGCGTTCTTCACGTCGATTTGGCGGAGTGGCAAGTGCCTTACAGCTGCGATGGCGAGCAGGATGCGGACGGAGGTGTGGCGGCTGACTGGGGCGAACGTTTGGTGGAAGTCGATCCCATGCCTCTGGTCATAGCCGCGAACCACCCAACGCGCTTTGAAGCGCTCGATTGTCCCATCTGCTGCGGTTTTTACGCGAAAGACCCATTTTCCTGAGAGGATTCTTGCGCCTTTGATCGCTGCGCGGTCGACGAGCACCCAGGTGTCGCGTGACTCTAGAGCCTTGATTTCCATGTCCATCGCCTCACGCCATACCCTGCTGTGTGTTCCAGAAAGTGCTTCGCGCGGGTTTCGGGGCTCGATGATGCGTGGTGCCTGTGAGGTTGCGGTGTGAAGTCCGAGCAGCTGCAGCCCTGAGATGGTGCTGTCGTGGCGACGTTGCGGGATGACTTCCTGCACATCGTCATCGTCACTTTCCGGTTCAGGTGTTGGCGGTGTTGGGCCTCTGCCGCTTCCGCCTTTTCCGCCTCCGCCTGTTCCGCCTGTTCTTGAGGAATTATTGTCGTCGTCGTCGTCGTCGCTGCGCCGGTTTTCCCATGCGAAGTCCCCCCATTGTGTCCTGCTCCAAGATTGCTGCAGCGGCTTCATCTTCGGGCGTTGCTTAACTGTGGCCGTCGTTGGCGTAGACCCGATTCGCATTTGTCTGCTCGTCGCGGCGGAACTGGTCGAGGAAGAGACGCTCGTAGAAGATGACGTCGCGAGCGTGAGTGTTTTTCTGGCTGAGGAGGTCCAGCACGATCCACGCTTTGTGCTCGTGACTGATACCGAGGTGGATTCCCCAGCGTGCGCGGCTGGCGAACTTGCCGATGGTTGAGGTCGGCGGGCGGTATTGAACCATGCACCCCCATACTCGGAGCATGGAGGTGTCTCCTTTGGTTCCACTCCATTTTACGTGCGGGGAAAGGTTGCCGGTGATTGCGGTGGTCGAAAGCAGGCTGTGCACCCGCACGGCGTGATGCATCGCGTAGGTCCAGTAGATCGACTGTCAACGGGAGTTGGGTATTGGCCCCGTCCTCGCTTGGGCGGAGCCGACTTCGTGGTCGGGTGTGAGGGGAGCAGCCGACCTGCGGCAGTGGTGAGCTGGTCGACGAGGAGGTCGATCTGCACGGGGGACCACTGCAAGGGACGCCGAGCTGGGCGTCGCCATGACCACCCGGACGCCTGGTCGACGTCATGGGCGTCTTCACGTCGTCCGGGGATCCAGACGCCGACCTGGGCGTCGGGTCCTGACACCGACCTGGGTGTCTGGTCGGCGTCCTGGGAGGAGGGACGCCGCTCTGGAGGTTTGGTCGGCGTCCCGGGCGTCTGGACGCCGACCTAGGGGTTCGGAAGGCGTTCTGGGCACGCCTGGACACCGGACTGAGGACGCCGGGCATACGTGACCGGCTACGGACTGCGCGAGTCGACCAGGCGTGGTTGCCCGGTCGATCGGGATACCCGGGCGACATGCGCGAGTGTCGCCAGGGTGGAGACTGCGAGGCCGACCTCGGGGGTGGTATCCCGAGGTCGACGTGGCTGGTGGGCACAGTCGCTGGCATGGAGTCTGCCAGGCGTCTGCGTTGTGCACGTGACAGGGAAGTGCGCACCAACCAGCTGCGCGCATCTGCGAAGCAGGTGCACCGTTGTCCTGCGGGTGCAACGCTGTGCAGCCGACTTACCGCAGCACTAGCACACCGTGGAATTGCAACGTTGGCGAACCGCTACCCTGCTACGCAGGAGCGGTGCGAGCGCTGCTGCGCTGGAGTGCGGTCGACCCTGCTGCGTTGGAGGTCGACCAGCAGCCTAGCTAGCTCTGATGTAGTCAATGTTGCCAATGTTGTTGCTATCATTGTTCTGAACTTTTCCTAGTGAAACTCTTGCCAATTTTCCCCGTGAACTAGCAAGTAGTGTGTGCACAAGGGAAACGACTAAGGACTAACGAACGCACAGATCACACGAGCACACGTGCCTAGCCCGCAGCCTAGCTCCCGTTGCTGCAGTTATCTCCGCATGGTGCGGTGAGCGTGGAAGACACCGCGACGTAGTTCAGTCTAGCCGACTTAGCACATACCGAGCGTGTTCGTAGACCGGCAGCCGTGCAGTCACTAGCGTGCGCGTAGGCCACGCCGAGGTGATGGACACCCTGGAGGGACGGCTGGAGGATGCGAGGAGACGCCATGAGGCCCAGGAGTATGGGGCGATACCCTGGGCAGTCGTCGAGGCCGGACTCCGCTCCGTGTGGGCGGCGGAGCATCCCCCTTCTCGACCGGTGAACAACGACGGCGGCGTCGATGTGGGCGTCAACGCCGGTGGAGGTCAGGTCGGCAGCAGTGTGGGAGGCACGTCGAGACAACGAGGTGTGATACACGCCGGTGAAGCCGGCGGCGTTCAGGCGCGAGGGATGCAGTCGTCCGCGGTTGCAGGCTCCTCACATGGTGACGCCGGTGGGCGTCGAAGTGGGCTGTCGCCGATGTCGGCTTCCCAGGTGACGGCAGGTGGGATTGCGCCGAGCTACGGCTACTTCAAGTTTACGCCGGACAGGATCTCGGTCACCCCTCCACTGGTCGGTCGACCCGACATTCTCACCTGGAAGGAAGCCATCGAGCCCCAGCCGGAGATGGCCGGGCTGATCGGCTTCGCCCGAGGAACCGTGGCAACGCCGGGGGAGCACCACCCCGACTTGCGGGCGGAGTTTCGCGCCGTGCAGCTGTTGACCTTCACGGTCATCTCGCGGTGCTGCTCACCGGGCGTGCAGATCGCCTTCAAGTGGTGCCGGGAGTACATCGACGCTGGCCACCGGGCGTGGCACTTCATTGAGTCGACGTACCAGGTCACCGACGACCTGTTCATCGCCCAGCTGGAGGGACAGCTGACACACCTGCGTATGGGTGACGAGGAGACAGCGACCGACTACTACAACCGGGCACGGCGAATTCTCGCCACCATTAGGATGGCCGGCGCGCAGTACTCCACGGCGTCGTACATCACCCATGTCATGCAGGGTCTCTCTAGCAGCTACAACCTCCTGAAGCGGCTGTCTATGGCGCCGAGCACAAGGGCGACGCTCAACGAGGACAATCTGACCTCGTATATCCTGCAGGACGAGGCAATGCAGGAGGCTGAGCGGTCGCAGGAGCTCGTGGCGCAGGCGAACTTGGTCACCTCAGCGAAGCTAGGAGGCCGACCGGGGCAGCGCGGGCAGTCTGGCGGTGGTGGTAGCAGTGGCTGGAAGCCGGCCAAGGAGGTCGACAAGAGGAAGTCGACCAAGGACAGCGGTCGTGGAGGAGGAGGTCGACGTCGGGAATGCTGGCTGTGCGGCGACCCCGACCATCTCTCCTTCGAGTGTCCCAACCGCAGTGACTCGGACGACGACGATGGTAAGGGCGGCCGTGGGAGGTCTGGCAGCCGTCGTCCTCGTCTTGGAGGAAACCAGCCGCGCAAGGAGAAGCAGTCGACCAAGACATCGACTTCGGCGAAGGACGCCGACTCCGTTGCAGGCGGCAAAGGGCGAGACGACAAGACGGCGTCGTGCTCGCTGGTCGGCGTCGTGGAGCTGACCATCTCTCTGGCACCGGAGGCCGGAGAGGACTTCCAGGCGGTGGCGGCAGCTGTGCAGGCAAACCCGGCGGTGGTCCTGCTCGACAGTAGTTGCT